GGCGGGTTCGAAGAAGAAATCTAGAGTTAATGTAATTTTGTACTGTTATTCGATATTCTCGAGATGAACCTGAATCGCATTAATACGATGCATTACTATGTCATTCGTTTATAAATGACGTAATTTCTCTGTCAGTCATCATCATGCAAATACGAACGACGTTGCATGGCCTCTTTCGAGCGATAGTATAATGTGCGTTTGAATAGAAACGTATTTTCACGCGTCTTCGATTTTATTAAACGCGAAAATTGTACCTTGCAATTAACTAAAGTCGTTTCGAAAGGGGAGGGAATAAAGTGTGAAACGTAATTGCTCGCAGATGCGTTGTTCATTGCGCCGTACCCTTTGAGAATTTATCTAATGTCGCTGCTAATAAGGTTTATCGAGTTACACCTCTAACGAGCATCCGAAGCAACGTACAAATTGGAAATATTGTTCGGCTATTGTGGTTGCTATACAAGGTGCTTAATTATCAGACAACTTCTCATAGTGATAACTTAAATGAAAATACAATTTATATCTAATTATTAAACTAAGTTTCGTAATTATTTTCGATAGTGCCTGATGTTAATTAATTCATAACCAATTTCTGTTTTCCGGAGGAAAAACGATCACGGTCCGCGAGACTTTCTAGGTCGATTCTCGATCTCTGACCTCGCTCTGATTGTTTCTGAGAACGAGTAAAATATTCTCCCACCCATTGTATTTCTTTCATGCATATTGAACTTTGCGAATATAGAGGGTGGAATGGAAACATTGTTGGTGCAGCGAACAATTCGATTCCCAAGCATTAAAATGTGATGCTAAACCCAACGTTTCGATCAACTACTGGCCCTCTTCGGGAATAGGAGTATAATGGAACCATATGAAATACTTACACGACATGGTAAATTATATGGTACGAAATTGCATAACGAACTTCTGCCTAATTAAACACTGTAAGAAAACTCATCGACTCTGGTCTTTGCAAAGTAAAAAATATAAGTACTATAACCCATTCAGTATTTGAATATTTATTAAAGACAGGTTTTCCTCGATAAAAGAATATAGCCTATATTTTTAGATAGTTCTTTCCAAAAAAAAAGAAACAAATATTAAGGTAATGTCAATGATAATTAAATTGAATTTTACCCTGAATAATTTTTGTTCGAACTCAAAACACATTTTTAAAGAAAACACGAAGACACCGATGGGGGTGTAGAAAAATATAAGTTTCATTGAAATTGAAGCGATCTTGATTTCTTATCGAGTAAAAGGGACTTCCGGCGAAACAAAAAATAGTATTGTGTCACAAACGTACTTGCACACAATCTGTAAATATTTTTAGAAGTTCTCGATGCTCCCTCGCGGAGTCTGAGCGATCATTCGAGTGGAAGAGGATCCGCCGAAAGAGTCGAGGTGAACGGAGTTCTGGCGCGATAGATTCTCGATTGTAAGCGCCCAACAGTCAGTCATATCGCGTAGTTATCGACTTTAGAGGAGAAAGGCAACGGATGTACCGGTGATTCGAGAATTTCGCGGGAAGAGTTAACAGTATCGGACCCGTTGGCGGTTCCGATGCGACTGGCTGCTACCGGCTGTACCCACGGCGTCTGTTTTATTTCTCGCGGAAAGAACGATCGAGTGAATAGCGGCCGTGAAATCGCGATACGACGTCTTCGTGCCCGTAAAGAATTATTAGAGTACCGCTCTCACGAAAAGACACCTCGAATCACCGTTCACTCCCCCCTCTAACCTTCCTACTGTTGTTCACCTTTCGACTTTACGCCGAATTAACTCGATTCGCCTAATCTCAATGACCAAAGACCATCCTAGCAACCAAACGACGGCTCTCATGGGTCCATTTTGACCCGAATCTGAATTTTATTTCGCGTTCCAGTACTACAATTCTAATTAGTACGTTATCATATAAATTTTGGGGGGGGGAAAGAAGACAATTTTAATTCCCTAAAATGGCATCACAAAATTGCATCCAAGCAATTGGCTCAAAATGAATTCTTGGGGTGCAAAGAGTTGATGTTAGTCAATTTTATTTACTAGAAACGAAAATTTCTAGTCTCTGGAAGGAATAGAAATTTTAATCCTATTGTCGACGTATAGAAATTTTGATTTTAAGAGAACATGTAATACTACTATTAATTTTTAAAACAGTACGGCGCGTGGAAAGAAACCCCACCGCAAGAACCCACGCGTTCAAAATACCTCGGCGTTTCTTCTATGTTCCCTGGAGAACAGTGTGGCGCCTAAGACAGCATTCCAAATAAATTGCGGGAGGAAAGCATGCGCGTTGTACGCGTGTACCAGTTCGAGGAAAAATGTGTTGGCATCGCGTCGCGTTCTTTCCCTTAAAGGGCTTCGCATTGTTGTACGAGACTGACGAAGAATTTACACGAGACGACAATCAATGGTTAATTTATTCGTGGTCCCATGAAACCGGCAAAGATACGACCTAATCAAATCTCATACGAAAACTAAACGCCTCCTTTTCCGATAGGGGATGAAAATACTGTGATACATAGCAGGACTTTTCAACCCCTTCTTCCTCTTCTCAATTTTATTTATCTCTGTGTTCCTTCATTCGTTGCTATACCAATTGTTCATTTATAATGTAATGAGCAAGTTGAAATTATTCCAAGAATCATCTCCTAAAGTTTATTCAAATATTTTTATAATTTGTTAAAAATAACATCCTAGTAACATATTTAATTAAACTTGATGTCAGGATGAAAAAAAGATCACAACAATTTGAATATCCCACCATTATTCCTAACCAAATTTTTATTTCTTCCCAGAAACAATTAGTACAAATTGTTTGAAAAATTCATTTGAAACTAAAATTAATTAACTTTACTGTACATTGTGTGCTATATTTTTATCGTGGACCGCTAAGTGGAAGGAAATTGTTTCGACACTAATGGCGTCGCGAAAAAGTTTAATCTATGTCGGTGGATTGTACTGTTTGGTGAAGTATCAATGAAAACTACCGTGAAGGAGCGTTGCAATCGGCCGCGTTCGTGGCGCCTTGACTTTCTCCCATTGTAATACGAGTACGAACTTTTATGGACACGCGTAATTACTCGATCAACGTGGCCGCCGCGAACGTGTCGAGATCCCGGGCGCGAGATAAAGTCCCGTCCACACGAAAGCCGTACCCCGCGCGGCGTGTGTACGGGATCGAGAAGAACGAGCATGTGGGTGAAGGCTGGAGGGCTCTCCAGGATGTGTCGAAAGTGAAACCCAAGGCCTCGTGCACCTTCTTGCCGTATGCACACGTTCGTAGTCGAGGAACGCAGCAGCGTTCGTCCTCGACGCGCTCGATCATCGTTTCGGATCGGTATCGATCCTCCTCGGTTGAAAATGTGACCGTGAACGGTGCACGACGAAGGCTGCGAAATATCCACCCACGACATTGAGCAACGATTTGTTCTCGTGGTCTCGATTTGAGTCCCCTCTTAGTTTTAAGCTCGAGTAACGCGGCCGATTGACCGCCATTTTGGTATATCAAGAAATATCGACGTGGGAATTGTAGAGGAGAAATGGATATATCCGATTGTTATTTTATAGTATTCTTTAATTCGATTTAAAGTAGAAGGCACAAGTGAAAACGTCCTTACGCCAAGATGGCGTCGTTTAAGCACAGGCGAAGTATACTAGTAGACCTTACACCTTATGATACCATACCAACCTGAAAATTCGGAGGTGATTTTAGCGTCCTCTTCTCATGGGTGGCGATCAGTTGAGGAACTATTCACTGAATTAGTATTGATGGGCAGACAACTGTAATGTCTGCATAAATACATGTGAGTTGACTACGGGAGGGATTGAAAAAGGCAATCCACTATTATCAGACGAGAGACTGGTGCCCGAAGGGAACTGACCCTCCACTTACGCAAACTAATGCACAACCACCTTGTATATGAGTTGTGAGATTCCAGGATGAAGTAGTTGATTCTAATGGTCTCCTACAATAGTGAATGAATTATATTGAAATTTACTTATGAAGTAGACATCGTGAATACCTACAAAACAGTATTAAACAACATTCCCGTAAAACTTCTAACAAATTTATTAAAAATCAAAAACTTTTAAATAAAAATCGACAAGGGGTACAAATTTTTCGGGGAAATTAAAAAATTTCAAATTATTCTAAAAAAATTATTTTTGGCTGCGGAAGTCAATTACAATCATTTTTGGTGAATACACATATACTCCCGAAATCCTACGCAGTTGCGAGAAAAAAATTCTTTACCGAAAATATAATATGTGGCCAGAAATGTTTTCCAGATAGGGGGAGGTAAATGTGAACGTAATCGAAATAAATAATGTTATTTAAAAATTAATAATATAAAATTAGGTTTCCTTCGCTATAAACAATTTAGGAAGAGTTTGAGATGTCGATTACCAGTAACCAATATTGCAGTCAATGTATCGAGAATGTCTGTCAAGTTGTAGGCAGTGATTTTCCAGGACATTTTATCGTTTGAAATTCAAGAATTTCTGAATTCCTCCATTGCTGCTTCACCTATAAATATTCACTTATTTCTTAAACTTTCTATTAAAAGAAATTTGTATACCTAAATAAATATTTTTTATATCGAAATCCTTCTTTAGATAATTATTGTAGTTTATTTTTATTTTATATTGTAGTTGAATTCTCGAGATTCAGCAAACCTCTTAAAGTTTGTCATACAGTGTCAGACTTTATAGATGATTCCATTCAAAATTCTATAACTAATTTTGTTAAATTTCATCGTAATATTTTCAAGAGTAAAAAGTTTAAAAAAAATGTTCGCAACACGATGTTTCTGAGACACCAAAACTTTGAAAATAAAAAAAAACAATCAATTTTCTTTTAGCTCCAAAGTCAACAAACCCCTCAAGCAATGAGTATTGTTCGAAACCTTTCTCTGACAATAACTTATCGACCGATGCAATATGGCGACGCAAATGCGTCCAAAACTATCGCATCCTCGTGGATCCTTTGATCGTCTTGGGGCGTTATTCACCCCGTTGACCCAGTTTCCTCGATATTTCCCTCGAAGGAAAACTCAGCGAAACGCCTGGCGGCTTTCAGCGAAGAATTACTGAGAGAACTCTGGCGAATGGAAGTAATATCGAATCTGTGAATGCTCCAAGCGCGATGGCGGCTTCCTTACTTCTTGGTCTTCTTGGCCAACGGCAGGAAATAGGTTGAAACGATGCAAACTGGAATAAAAAGTGATTAAGATATTTTCAAGAGCGCAGACATTGGATCGAGGGATCGTGGCTTACTTATGATGAAGATCGCCAGCGAGATTATCGGCGCCAGGCAACCGTGCGCGAGCAGAACGGGGAAGAGAAGGCTTCCGATCATCGATCCTAATCTTCCGGTTGTCATTACCAAGCTCACCGCGATCGTTCTAGTTTCCAGAAAACGGACGTAATTATTCGGTTGTCCATGCGCGTCCGTATTCGATATTTCATTTTTGTTATATACAGGTGCCTTCGAATAGACAAGAATCGTACCTCAACGAAGTTGGGAAGAGGATGACGGCTACACCAATGACCATGTTCATGGCCACGTGCATCAGTCCTATGAACAAGCACGTCAGTATCAGGGTGGATAGCATGTTCGTCGACCAGTTCAAATACACTATGCAAGAAATCGCCACTCCGTAACACATGGCTGTAATAATTAGAAAATATGTCATTATTTTACTTCAATTGAATGTCATATTTTATTTCAATTGAATATTTCTATAACGAGTATTATTATAAATAGGATTAATTCGTTCGTCATGATGGGACTAGGGTGGTTTTTAAATTTCTTCGATTCTAGTATTATTTTAACAGATTCAATTTATTTTATTTGGAAACCTCGAAATTGTATTTTATATTCTGAATCATTTTTAATGAATTACGTGCGTGTTATTTTAACAGTTGATTTAGTAAAAGCATGGGAAAATTGGAAATTATAGTACTAAAAGTAGGTTCCAATGCGATAATAATGTCGCGGAAGATGCACGAAGTGAAATATAAATGGAACATCTCGATTCGTACGACGTGAAAAAAAGGAAAAATATATAATAGTATGTATAAATTGTATACAACTATGGTCGTTAATTTGTTCTTACAAGAGGGGGTGGCAAATGAGGAAAATTATTAAGAATCCTCAGTTTCATAAAAATTGTGGATCTTTGTGTAGAAAAATTCTAATAAATAATATATCATTTTTGAAAATATAAAATATCCAGTGCAATGGTTTGTGGTAAAATAACAAAACACTTTTCAATACAAGGTTAAATACTCACACAAGGTCTTGTGGTACTTTAAATCACAATATTTAATTAAAAATATATTCTTCCTTTTATTTAGTAATTTTTTTACGAATATGAAACCATATATATAATTTAACTCACACAACAAGGTTTTGTGGTTCACAATGTTCAATGTGAGATTAGTAACCAGGAGGCAAAGGTTTGTAAAGGCTGCTATGATCACAGTGTTCATGTAAACCGATTCGTTCACGACCGTCTGAAAAACATGCACCAAATCGTGTGACTACTGAGTTTCTATAGAAGTTAGTCGATTTTTATTTTAGTTAGTCGAAAGACAAGAAGAGGTGCAATCTGAATCGTCTCACGTTTACACAAATCGATCCTTCCGCGTCTGCCGTGAAATTATTTTGCTTGTGGATCGAGAGGTCCATGATTTCGCAAAACGTCGAATCGTTTCCTTCTGTTCCATTATACTGCGATTGAAAATTTTCCAACATCGTGAACAGCTGAGGCTGCCACAGACGAATAGTGTTCATTCTGTGAAGCAGAAGTATTTTTATAAATTGGTTATACGTCGTCGAATATGCACGAAAAGACAGAGAAACATTATTTCCCGCGATTCTCTAAGAATTTGAGAATGAAATGATTGAGAATCTTTTTCTTTGACGTCAAACTAATCTCAACAAACGTGACAGAACTGCACATGACGCGAGAACGACGTGTACGTAGATAAGGTGAACGCGTCAAACATAACGTAACTGTATCACTGATGTATACGTTGCGTTCTGGTAAAAGAATGCATTTTTAACAGCGTTCTAATTAGTTTTTAATCCGGCTCAATCGCCTAGTTCCACCCTCTAATTGATTACAAATAATAATATTTGTTCCATTTCTTGTAGAATCGAAGTTTCTGTAATGTGTTTCTAACAGTTCGTGGAAAAAGAATTTTGTCTCGCGTTTCTAGTTTGTTTTCGGACAAATTATTTTTCATCGTACCATGAAATTATAGGGTTAGGGTTGATGTTACTTGAAGGAAAGGGAAAAATTTATTTACTCACTCCAACATAGCTCCAAACTGCAAAACGGTGACCATAATAAGTCGAGGCAAATGTGGATTAAAGAAAATGGCCGTCCTATGAGACTTTTGAGTTTGGTCAGCTTTGTAGTGGGATTTATCTTCCAAGCGTGAAATCTGACACAAGAATGGCTTCCATTAATTTCAAAATCAAGTAAATTAGACCATTTCTTTTGTAAATCAATTTTGGCATATTTAAATAAACCCTCTATAATAATATCTATTTTCTGACGTTCCTAAATATTCTTTTTCTTCGCCAAGTCATTCAATCCGCCATCTTGGAACTCTTACCGGATATTCTTGGGCGGATCTCCCGGTGTTGAGTCTGTAAATCAATTTGAAAACTTTCAACGCGTCCTCGTTGCGGCCCTGGGACATGAGAAACTTTGGACTCTCTGGGAAAAAGGAGAGACAGCCGACGCCGATCAGTATCGGAATGCCACATAGAGAAAGAAATATTCTCCAGGAATTGTAAACGAAAGCACCGTCCCAGAGGACGATAGACCACGTTTGCGGAATGATCAGCCACGCCATTCCTAAAAAATACGACTTCGAGGATTAGTGCTGAAAAATAAAGAGTCGTTTTGAAATTTTCTTGAAAAATGAATGGATAATCGTTTGAAATATTTTTCCATTATATACAGGATGGACCGCGTAAATAGAAGCACCTAAATATCATCCTTATTTATGGTAATTTCTTAGAATAAAGTATTACTATTGTAGGAAGCACACGTAACAATAAAAAAATTTTTTTTTAATAAGTTTCTTCTTTTACTTAAGATTTTAAATAATTAATAAACGAAGTTGGTAATCTTGATTGTAAAATGTGCATGCCTGCAGTCATGATGTTTCCGAACGTGCCGGTAAATCCGACGATCAGCGCGACTTTAACTCTACTTTTGACTTCGTGGAACTCGGGACAATATGTCATGATCGCAGCATGAGGCCCGCTTATTCTGAGACAAACAAAATTATTCATAATTGTCAGAAATCAGTCGAGAAAACGATATTTTATTCAATTTTGAACATTGAGTTGGGTTATTTTAAAAACTTGATCGATTGCCAATTTTCTCACTGTGAAAAATTGTCTTTTAATGGCGATTCAAATAGTATGTACACATATAATATTGTCAGGTTCGAAACAATTGTAAATTGTATCTTATTTATTGTTCGATTTTCCATGAAAATAATAAAACGTACGAGTAGAAGATTTCTATTTGTAATGAAACATATCACTTACGTATAATTCTCAACCAATGACAATAATGCACTCACATACAACCGCTGAGGAACTTGAAAAACGCAAGCGTCCAGAAATTTTGCGAGAAACCCGACAGAACGTTGCAAATACCATCAGCTAGAAAACCGTACATGAAAACAACCCTTCTGCCTCGCATGTCAGCTACATAGCCCCATAAGAAACCACTCAAAACCATTCCTATACAAAGTTGATGAATTTCATAATATTTACAAAACAATTTTAGAGTCGGACAAATTTTATCGACGAATATCGTGTATGAACTTCAAATTCATTCGTAAATTAGAATAAATTAACAAATGAATTCTGTGAACTTTGATAACTAATGAATTTAAAATTTGTATTCGTTGCTCTTGACTAAATTTTTGTAATTAAATATTCTACATAAAATTACGCACCCACAAAATTAATGGCGTTCAGAACTCCTTTCTGGAAGAGCGTCATCTGCAAATCGCATTCCGCGGATGGAAGAATTATAGCCACGTTCGAAGTGTCGATGCTGATGGCCCATGACACGGGAATGACCGCCAAAAGTAGAAGGTACTGAAACTTTCCATTTCCGGCGGCTGCAATGGCCGTTTCAAAATCTGCCGGCTTCTTTGCAATGCCTTCGTTTGTGTAACCTACATTGCACGTTGAATTTGATTGACGCTCTCTAATCGTTCGAATTTTGCATTGCAGACAACAACAAGCATCGAAATGCTTGTATTCGTTTGAACTCTTAAAAACGAAAACTAAAGATGTCAATAACTAAGCACCAAATTAAAAATACTTCATCAAGAAATAAAATTCAAACTTTCATAGGTGTTGTGTTAATATTAGTTTCATATATTTATTTCGTGACATTATATTTTTAATGTTACTTTTTGCATACCTTTCGTCATTTGAAAGAACTTGTGTTCCTATTGTGAAGATATAATGTTGGTATACAAACGTAAAAAAAATCTTTCATAAAAATCAATTTTTTACTGCAACCTTAACACATAACAATATTTCTTTATCGTCAATGTCATGAAGCTTAATTTTATTTTATCTTTCGAAAGAGAAATAATTATTTTCTCATTTATGAATTAATTAATTTATCCTTTAGTTAGACAAGAAATAATCTGCAAAGTTATTACATCTGCCTATAAGGAAATATCAATCCTATACAATATCTCCAGTGGATTTTGTAGACTCTTGTTTGTATAAGGGTTGAAAAAAATGAACTATAAAATTTGTATTCTTGACAGAGACTTTGTAGAAAAATGATTGGCCTCGAAATAGAAAAGTGAAACGTACCTGTACCATGTTTGTTCTCTTCAGCATCTTTGTCTGAAACAGCAATAATACTGATCTCATTATTGAGCGGCATTCTATTGCCGGTAGGAAAATTCAAGGAACCTCCAGAATTATTGTTTTCAAAATTCGAATAACGAGCAGAGTCTTTGTCTTTGGAATTCCTACGATACACCTGCACGCGTGATTCAAAACGGACTACTTAACTGAGTTTATGAGTCTCGAGTAATTTTGATCAGAATCTTACACCCGCCAGTTCTCTTACCTTATGCACCAGTTTATTTTCACAAACTATTTTATCTCTTATTTAATCACGTGGAAACTAATTTCGCATCTGTAATCTTGAAACCAATAAAACGATTTATGAATTGCATATGTCAACCGTCAACTATTTCTACTTTGTACGTTTTCCGATACATTGTAAAAGTTTTTGATAACGTTGATATCAGCAATAAATGAGCAATAATTAAATCACGTGGAACGTTCTTTATGATAAGTAATCATTTCTATCAAATTCAACCTCTTTGCAATGTTTGTTTGCACAAGTGCCATGTGGCTGCCTGTGATACAACGTGCGTATATTCAATTTAATATTTTCTTGTATTTTACTGTTGTATAAAAACTGTAATCATCGAGTATACCTTAATTTTCATCATAATTAAATTCACTTTTATTTGCGAATTTCAACGCCTATTTGTTTAAATTATAAAATGAAAAAATTCAATCAAACATTACGAATTGTTTTCCGATGACAACCGAATCAGAAATTTACAATCTTTTCACAACACACCTTAACTGTCGCGTAATTTCTTTCAATTACGTAACTATTTTTCGTTGCACGACAGTTGCCAAGGTGCAACATCGTGGATTCATGCTAGCGATTTTATCGATTAAATTATGCCTGTCCGTTCACGAAAAGTACTCTCTAAAAACACGTTTCAAAAGCTGGAGAACATTTTACGTTTCGTAACACTGTATCCGACTTTCGTTTATGTTTAAGTAATAAGGCGTCTCTGGTCAAACTGTGACGAACGTGTCTCTTATTTTTAATATTTTTCACCCACCAACGACGTAAGTACAAATGCTCTTATTATATGATTATTCAACGATTTTATTCACCATAGTTGAAGAGAAAATACAGAAATTCGAATATACAAAACTTGTACCATATTGTGGTATAGAAAAGAAGATGAAAGAATTCCAACGAATTTCTTTTCGATAATTGAATAGAAAGGTGAACAGATCGCCGGAGAAATATTTGCAAGTCTTCTCGAAATGCATCTCGAAGCAAAAATTCTTTTCGACTACACTTACTCTGCTACCTTGACCGCAATTACTTCTACAGGCCTTCCGATGCCTCTTATCGAGATTTCTTTGCGTAATGCGCCACAGAATCGGATTGTACGACTGCTCGCTATATCATAAATCATAGCACGTATCGTAAGGCAATAAAAATATACATGTAAGTAACTGCACGCATCAGTCCAGATAAGTTCTCGTTGCACGTATAACGGAAACGGTATGCAACCTCGGAACAACCTATCAATTACGTCTTGCCCAAGGCGTTGCGAATAAATGATTAAATATTTTACCAAAGAAGCCTAATTCTTCTAAAATACAGGGTAATCAAAGAACAGTGGCACGAACCTGACGCGTTCGTCAAAATCAACAAACTGTGGGTCAGAAACGAATATGCACTTTTGTAATGAACTATCGATTGCAAATTTTAATTATGTAAAAATATTTCATTGCAATTATAACACTTTTATCGACAAATTTTTTTCACATCTTCGTTGCTGAAATAACGCGATAAGAAAAGTTGTTGAATTAATTTCATAATTTGGTTTTTGATAATCATACTTGTAGATACATATAAAAATTACACGAAGTATTTTTATTTGATTATATTCAAGTACATGATTTAGAAGATTAGAAAACATTTCTTTTGAATCGTCCTGTACAAATTAAATATTTTCTTCAACTTTAAGAGACTGAGGACAGTGAAATTTTGAAATACCGAAGAACGAGATCTCGCAATTATTTAACAAATTTTTGTTCGTAGCGATGGAATCATCGGGGGGAACAATGGCCTTTACGTAGTTTCGATCATTTTCAACGGGTATCTGGCCTCTAGTATCGCAAACGTAAGGTCAGGGTGGACATGATATTTCCTGTATCGGGCACAACAAAGGAACAAAGCAGCTGTCAAAGTACGCGAAGCGTGTAACTTGCCACTTGAGTTAAGAGAAATGACTGTTGTTCGTTGATCGTTAACGGAAAACCACCTATCCGCGATGCTAATTGCCGTGCAAAAACGAAGGAACAAAGCGTTTCTTCTCTCATTTTCATAATATTGAGCTTCTTTGCATATTCCAAATCTCGAAATGAAGAATCAGGTCTGCAAATGATACATGAAAATTTGCGCAAACATAAACATCACTCTTCACATACTTGCCATGATTTTTCTATTCCACCGGAAAATTTCACAGAATCTTAAATATTTATTACTACATTTAGTTGGTTTATGTTTGTCGTGTGTCAATCAATGCGATAAGCATATTTCTGAAAAATTACTTTATTTGACGTATTACATAACTGCAACGAATTTAGGTGACAGGTATACACATAAATACACTGACCGACTTGAAAGTTTGCACAAAAATAAACACCTCTCATCAATATGACTAAAATAATCTCGATACTTCTGAAGATTTTTCTTTGCCGCTGGAAAATTTCACAAAATTTTGCTTAAATATTTATTACCATAATAGTAACGTCTGTTTATGGTTGTCGTGTGTCCTTCGATGCAATAAAGACATATCTTTTAATTAGTTTATTTATCGTGTTACACAGCTACAACGATTTTCGTTTTCCCGGAGTTGCAACGAATTTGTTTCGCAATTAGTTCGGAAAATCGACGTTCCAGGTGGATTTCTTCACTCCCTGTCCACCGAGGGGGCCGAATCCTCGTCACTGGAGAACAGCCGTTGGTTGGATTTCAGAAGCGTCGCTTTGTAGTCATGGCTGGCCTCCCTCGCGCGCCGATACTCCAACGAGCGCATGTACTCCGACACCTACGGGCGGGAAAAGAGTTACAAGGTCAGGTCGTATCGCAAGAACGCGTGGCTCGTTTCACCGGAGTAATTAAAGTTTCCTGTATTAAAGACGCAGACTCCGAGATCCCCGTTGCGTAGCAGGCGGCCTGCTTTCAAGCGCGTTCGACGATTCCCCGGACGAACGCAACGCGTCAACTCCTCCCTGCCCCGATAATCCTTTTACCGTGCTAATTAGGGTCAGCGTTGATTAGTTTAAATATCAGCTTAACAATCAGGCCCGCTGGATGTCACGATGCACGCAAGGAGCCTCGCGGGACTTAATGCGAGGCGGCAGGAACGATCCAGGGCACAGGAAACGTTGACTCTTTCATTCTTCCTTTGCCTCTACTGCTTTGTTTCTTACGATTCTTAACCTTTTCAGGCTTACAGGACAGTTACAAAGGAGATCGTTAACACGTTCGTCGTTTCCATTGGAATACTCAACAGACCTGGACTTGGAATGAAAAATGAGGAATATTGGAGGAGTTATACGCTCGGGGTTAAAAAGTGTAAGTAATTACAGATTATATGTAATTTTGTAGATTTGTAATCTTGAGATACTTTTTTTATGATAGGTCAACAGTGTTGGATAGGAAATGTAATTGCAGTTGACAATTTATCAATTCCTTCGAAATTATAACTGGTGCAGAATGGGACTTACAAAGTCCTCTGACAAAGATGGCTGTATCGAGTTGAAAACTTGGATTCTAAGAAAGTAGCCTTTCATTTTTAGCTGGAAAGGAAAGTATCGAACTTCAAGAAGAAATGAAGAAGCTCGTTTTTCATACGAGGACAGTGCACGAGTATGCACTTATTTTTCTTTTCGGATTATTAACCGTCTTTCACGGAACGCTAGTTCGCATCGGACGGATGCCATGTTTAGGAAACGCTGTTCGAAGACCGATCTTCCTCCCGGTACTCGCGCATTATCGTGTTCCTCGCTTTAATTCACCGTACACGGCATTTAGCAGGCTGAAAGAAATGGTTTCTGTTATTCGACGCGTTTGATTTCGATCTGATGTTCCCGGGGCTTTCCGGCGTCCCGAGGCTAGCGGGATTCGTAGCGGTAAAGGACGATTAATATAGTCAGAATCATGCCGGGATAATCGGTTTTTCTCCCTCCGGCGAAACTCGGCCACGAGAGGGAGAAAAATGAGATACAGAGGGGAGCCGATAAGATTGATATCGAGGCCTCGCGGTGGACAACTCGCGCGAGCTTCCGCGACGAGCGAAAATTGATCGAGCCGTATTGCCGACTAAACGATCGACACCGTCCTCTGTCCTGCAGGAAGTCATCTTCGATGATTTATGCGGCTGCGAAGCAATGCTCCCTGAAAATTGCTTACTTCACCGCGTTATTGGCGCACACTCCACAATATTGTGATCAACCTTTTCATTCCCACGGTAGCCACATGGCTACATAGTTTGAATTATCATGCAAAATATTGCTGTCATTTTTACATCTGTAAAAATGTGTTCCAACCGGGGTTGCACGAATAGCGACAGTGACATTGCTAAAGTGCAACTGAAAATATAAAAGGGAAGAGGAAAAAACTTGTTCATAAAAAAAGCACTCTGTGGACAGGGTGATCCTAATACCTGAGTCAAATTATACCTTTGTTCCAATTATAAATAGATAGAAATTGTAGAAATTTATATTTCGAATTTAGAAAAAACTGTACACATTTTTTTTCAAGATATAAATCGTGTAATAAACGATGAATAAGTCCTGTAATTATCTTACCAGAAATTTTGTACATAAAAATTGTAATTAATCCAATAGATTGGTTAATTTCAATATTCAACGAGATTTGGAAGTAAAGATTAAAATGTCTCTTGATGAGCCCCGCAGCTACTTTTAAAATAGCTCCGGAATCGTTGGTTACGCCAATGCTCGAGTTTGTACGATATTATTAATCACCAGTTCGCACGCGCGCAAAAAAGCAGAGCAACGTACATATAAATCGTTGCTCGAATATGTACGGAACATCGCGTGATATAAACGTCCAGTAACTCGTAACACGCATCAGCGTGTACAATAACGTCAAGAGCGTTGCATTTTAGGCCGTGTACAGGCGTATGCGACGGAAGTACACAACGCACAAGCCAAACCCTAGACGAGGATTAAACAAAACTTTATTCGAATAATAGATAACCCAAAAATCAACGATTACCAATTCGTTCGTATCGTTAATTCCATCCAACAGTTAAATTATAATTTATTGAGAAATATTCGATTCCATGATTGAAATTTTTGTTTTTATTTAACCTTTTACCGCATATAGTGCTCGATCAGCGATCCTATATGAAGGATCCAATTAGTAAATAAAAACTGAGACAACTTTACGAAATTTTCTAAAGTGAAATAAACATAGACGATACATACAACATGATATAACTTAAAATTCTAACATAAATATGAAAGATTTAATAGAAGGAGCAAATGTTAGAACGTGTCCGTTGATTTGCCATAAGTGTTGCATGGGTCTGTACGCGGCCTAACGCGCGTGGCGCGAGCAACGCGGCACGTCGAAGTCGCAGAAGAATCGAACAGAATGGTAATTAATTGTACATCGCCCGCTATAAATCTCGTTCGTCCGCGTGCGCGTTAAACCGAAGCCTTTTATATGAAACATTTTACACGATCAATGTGGTCCCTAATGAACGGAGTCGACGCAATGGATTAATGACACAGAATGTTAGCGAGTCATGCTAACGGCTCGGCTTGCCAACAATTAAATCGAACAGTGATTTATATTTCCGTGTAATTGACCTCTTAGGTTCAGTGAGCGTTTTGAGAAACTTGTAATTGTCCTATTACGCGTGGAAATTTGTTATTCCTCGACGATAAATCGTACAAATTGGCAAGTGTGTGGTTCACTATGCGAATAATAATAAAACAAGTAATAATCTCTTTTTGAAACTGGAAATATTGACACAGTTTTCTTATCTAGGTTTTAAAAGAAACTTATGATAAGTGAAATAAGAGCATGGAGAATTGCAAAATATAAATTTAAGAACTATTTCAACTACTACTATTAGTAACCTCTCTTTCATAATTCATGTGGCCTCTCAGAATTCCGCAGGAGATCACGCCAATGATGGACAGTAAGATCATTCGTTGCACTGAAATTTTGTCGAATGACCACTTGAATTTAACCATGATGCAACTACAAATATAGAAAGGAAATAATCAATATAATAAATGTGTCAGATGTTCACAAAAAAATCATATTCTTACGTGAATACGCATGGCCGAAGATGACATTAAATCATTGTTAATACTTGAATTTGAAATCTCGTTTTAAACTGACAAATAATTTACCGATTCATCGTTTGACTAAATAGAAGTCCTCGTTTGCATCACAATGAATATCGTTATCATTATTCAGTTTTATCGATTTACATTAATGTTATTGTTTTTTGTGAAAATGTGCAGATTGCTCTTCGAGCTATACGAGATTCCGCTCGTGTTTGACATTTTATAATTTATCTGCTACGTGCGATAATACCAATGGCCGTTATAAATTTTCACCGCTTTTACTCTAGGAACAATATACTTTAATATCTTTGGTATTTTAGATAATAAAATGTTATTCTAGTTTTGCGAAACATTAGTCATAAAATTTGGTGAACAACGAAAAAATGTGGTTTCTTAAATACTACTATTTAGAATCACTAACGTTTTTTTAAAAGTCTATAAGTATTAATATTCCTTCATTGCAGGCGTCTCAAAAAAGCATTGTATGTTTAAGACGTTGGTCTCCAGTAACCTCCATTGTGATCGTGTTATCATTCGTGGTAATAAGGTTTGCAAACGACAATATTTTAAAGATTATATTTTGCAATACTTTGGTAGCTAAATATCTCGGATATTATTAGCTTATAGCAGACAAACTTTTATTCTTAGAATTACTGTATAGAATTCTGGCATAAAATACTGGTAAACTCGTTTAAAAGAACATTTATTCCTACTATTAAAAGTAGCAAAAATACGAAGGTGTTCTGTTTCTAGTGGGCCATTCTGTATAACGTTACAGTTCGTCGTTGCTTTCCTATATTTGTTAGCATCTTCTCACGTGAGACAATTTCTATTTCAAGCCGGATGCGGTCATCGAGTCATATTCATGATCTTCCGGTGAAAGAGGATCGCGCGATGCTGTAGGAGACCTACAGTAGGTAAACATTCCAGGTACATTTGATTTTCTTTCCGTTATCTCATCTCCGATAACCGTTTTTTCGGTCATGCGATTCAATGTCGCTTTAAAACTATGCTATTGCAATGTTTGAAATACAAAAAACAGAGTATTCGTTACGAACAATCGAGAATAAATAAGGTTACGTCGGAAGGGCATAGTGGCGCGCGCAATTTGTCCGTTACGTCGACAGATGGCAGTCAAGTCGGGGCAAGATGGCGTCCGGTCAATAGACGAATAGCAGGGAGGCCGGAGGCGCTCTCGAGGTTCGTGGGTGTTCTCAGCCCGGAGCTGGAGAGCCTTTTGGGGCCGCGTATCGGTGACATTTTTTTCCACCACAGCGGTGCGAAACGGTGGACACGCGAGTGCGTATCGAGAATGTTCAACGAGGGAGTGCGCGTCACGTACGCGTCGCCCTGAGTGTGCCGTGTTTCTCGAACTCGAAAGAGATGCTGCCGTGCAAAGCGACGACAGAGGAGGCGCGTTCGCGAAACTGTCAGGAAGATCGTCTACGTCGTCGTACGTGAGTCAGTGCGCTCGGTGGATCGAAGGAAGGCACGCACGTACAAAATGGCTTCGGGCGACAATGTGGACGTGATCGAGGTGGTCGAGACGAGCTTCACGGGCCCGGCACAACCCACGGAGGATCACCTAAGGCCGGAGCAGTCCGCGAACGAGGACAGTGAGTGCCCCTTTATCCTCGGCGGGTCGCTTCTCGCGTACAAATGTCACGAACCTAACCTATAAGCCAACGCGATCCCGGACGCTCGACGGGCGTCGTTTCTCTCTCGCTGGTCGGATTCGCGCCGCGAGACGCGACCAGCGAGAGATAGGCGTGATCGATCGATTACCGACGATCTTGATTTTCGTTTCGTTCCCGCATCACCGTGCCTACGTTCCGTCGTACGTCAACTGGGTTATCGGACGACGAGCGTGTGCGGGGCTCTTACGGGGCTACGCTCGTTAATCTAGTTCACGATTTGACAGCTGATGGGTGTCACCCGTCTCGCGAAAATGTATAAGAAATTCCGTTCTCTTTTTTCCTCCGTGCAATCGTCCTCGACCCTCGAGTGCACAAATTTGTTTTCGAAATTTATGTACGCGGAACATAACCGACGGGATCGATTATTCACGATTCAAAGAATCACTCGAGTACCATTGGTTTTTATTGTAGCCGCGAGTCATCTTCTAGCTAATGAACCGAAGGAATTTATGAACGTGGCTAATGTTTACGTGGACCCGAGGTCGTTCGAAGGTTGAATGAAGATACGGAAACGCCGTTCGAGGGCTGAAATTTAACCGTAACGGAAATAACGGTACCGAGCCTCGCGCGCGTCAATAGCGAATCGGTTGCAGTCGGCGTTTCTGCACGACTTTCGTTTTTGAACTCGGTTAACGTTCCACTTTCTCATTTCTTTCCCGGAATATGCATCGAACTTATCCGAACGTTCAAACACGCACGTCTTGTTGCGCCTTTTGATGCCTCTCGCGTTAGAAACGGTACTCCTCGTTCATTCACTAGCCCGCGGTGTATGCGTGAAGCCGACTGTTACGTGACCTTATTTCATGCGACAAACACGTTGTTTTCGGTATGTTACAGATAAATCTACGGGGGATAAGGTGACGGCACTTGACGTAAGTAAAAATTCCTTACGTATTTCCTTTCGATGGGAACACACGACGCCAAGTCGATTCTCGCTCCACGTACAGCAGATATTAATATTGACGTTTGCACACTTCTGACACAGTGTGTTTCGAGAACGAACGAGATTACAAACAAGTTTTACGTGGGTACACTATCAAAAGTCCCGACACGGCATCATATCGCTTTTCCGCTCCGACGATTCGTACATTCTCACGTTGGATACCAATATTTGTTTACATATTTAAATTGAAATATATATAACATTATTAATTATTATTGACGTCTGTAATTCCACGTTATATCGTCCGTTGGAACCTTTTATTACATTCAATTCGATCGTTAAGTTATAAATCGAACGTTACATAAATGAACATACTCTTGTTATTTATGTAACGTGCACGTTTCAATCTACGTTCGTTTTAAACGAAAAATCGCGGCACGAGTAACGTTGCCACGCGTGAATCTATAGTAGATGGATATAGTGTTATGTAAGAAAAATCCTTGCTATCTCCAGTCGCTCGAGCACTTTAAGTACGTTTTTAGGTTAAGCTGAATAACGACGCTGCGAGTCTTTTATGTCACTTCGTATTCGTTTCTGCATCTGATTTTTGGTGGTGTAACAAGAATTCATTATTATTTTCACACGTTTTGTCGTTACCCTCGGAATTAAACACGTCGATTTACCGCGTACGGTATTGTCCTCGACTAATCGACCGATGCGTCGATAGAGGGTGCGCGCTATCGATTCCCTTAAATTCCTGTCAACGGTCGATCGTCTAGTCAAAGCCTGCCATTCGTCGTCCACGTTTCATTGGCGAAATCGGTTCTATTTTTGCGCCCGACGCGTTAATCAATCCGTGGTCAACACGTTCCGCGACGAAGATCGTGTCACGAGATTACGAGGCTGCACGCGGTATGTACGAGATTAGACGCGTGTTTTCTTGAATCAACTGCAAAACTCTTATCACGAATTGTAGTCCGACGAGATAGGTTTTCTGAGAAAAACGCGCGGGAATGTCGTTCCGTCGGAGGCCGGATTCGATGCACTGTAACGACGGTGTGAATAAGACGTTTCGAGCGATGCACCGAGATGAATCGTACCGCTCGTGGAGACAAGAATAGTCTAGTAATTATTCATTCGAATGACGCATAACCGTGTGTGTGCTTTGGGTACTCCGTCTCTCGTGTTTGTCTTGTCGATAAACGTTTGGAGCGACAGTACATACGTCAGAACCCACGGGATTTTAGGGGTAATCGACCAGGGTAAAATTTTAAACGTTTGGAAAAATGTTGCAAATGGCACCGAAGAAAATACGAAGCAAATAGTATTTCGAACATAGGTTAAGAACTTGAAAAGTAACGTTCGATGTTTTAAATGTTTTTACAACGCAAAGGAAATATTTATTTTATTCACTATTACAGGTATTTGATAGAAATAACGTAGTCTTTTCGTTAAGCGTCGGTGGGAGTTAAAAATAACAGACTTCGCAATCGTAAGTCCTCATTACGGACGGAAATGAACGTGGAAATATTTGAGCGATAAGACGCGCGTGCATGCTACGAAAACTGGGAGCATTTTGTTGAATTATTTTTTATTTGTTTATTCATTTAAACTGATAGTGACCCTTATTATAATATAAAAATTGCATTTACGGTTAGAAAGCGAAATGATTTAAAAGAATAATATAATATTTCTATTGGAATTTTTTTTTTATTGTTTTTATTTCGAAATAGTATACAGGTAGCCCTCCTACAACACGGCATCCTATAACACGGTTTCGCTTTAACGCGATAAGAAAATTGCGAAAACCTTTGCACAACACTGTACTCCTATAGCACTGGATAACATGACTTTTGCTTAACATATTTAAAAACTAAATTACCTTAAAATAATGACGCGAAGGAACAGTGAACTATAGTAGTGGCTTTACATGAACAAATATAAACTATAAATTATAATTATAAATATAAATAAACTATAATTTATTAAATTAAGGTTGCATTAAATTAATTAAATTTTTTTGTTATACATACATTCATATTTTTCATAAAAATTAAGTTGCTTATGTAGAATTAAAAAAAAATGTTTGTTTTTAATAAGATTTCGGAACGTAACTCCCTTTTTTATACTGGTTCTGGGTTTCATATAACACGGTTTCACACAACACGGCATTTTCTAGGAACCTATCTACCGTGTTATAGAAGGGTCACCTGTATCTTACTTGCGACGTTTGAACGATCGAATGACTTCTGTTGCAGAGCTCTGTAATACAACATGGCACCGCGGGACCCAAAACCCCTGTGGGGGTGTCGAGAAACAAGTCGGAGCGAGAGAGAAAGATTGGTCACAGAAGAGTTGGAGTGGGAGGTGAAATCACGTACAAAAAGGTGAGACACGAAATAATACGAATGCATCAGTCTTTCTCTAAAATTGTTAAAATAAAGAATATGGTACTGGAGTATTAAATTCAAGTTTTGATTTTCACATTGTCTAAAGAGACTAGACACCAAGGTGAGACTACGTCTTCAAGTAGTAAGCTGTCCAAAAGTAGATAGAATCTACAGTAAAAGATTTTTTGAACAACTTTGTATTTCTCTAAAATTCGCTTTGTAATTGATTCTGTAATTACGATTTCTATACGGTCTTATTGCCTGTATAGATTCTCCGAGGGTGCATAGAACAAAATGAAAACTTTAAACATAATGGTACCATATACATATAATCGTATCTTTTTTTTTTGCTCGAATATTTAAAACTTTTGAACATGGAATTAATGTAGAATTCCGTTTTTTTGTTCTTAGAGCAATATATAAATTTGTATTTGAGTCGAAGGCCATCTTCGAGATAACTTCGTGCTTCGTTCCATAATTAACAAAATTCTAACGAGATTTACTGCAATAAATACGTAATTTAATATTATTTTTCTATGATAAAGAACCAAAAAAAGAAACACTTACTACTTATAATTACAGGTTATTGCGATACTTCTTTTATACATCGATAAGTATTATTAATATTGTAGTTTATATTGTAGGTAATGCGAAAAATTAGTACGCTAGTTTAGTCCTAGCCTTGTTTTATTTTTAACTGAATTCCTTTATTGGAAAAACTTTGGTTTTCTTTATTTGATACTGTGTTCATTTTCAATCAAATAAAATTTTGAGAGAGAATTAGTTCTAAAGCACTATTTCCTCTTAATAATTAAATAATGAAAGGTAGTAACGCGTTGATGAAATTTGAAGGCAAAAGGAAAAAGAAGTTGTTAAAATATAAAAAACCTTGTTAATACCAAACTTGCGCATTAGTCAGAATTAGCGAAGTAACGTAGTTTCCATATTTTTTAGTTTATTATAATAAGTTTTTTAGATATTAGAACTAGGGCTGGGAATATTCAAATATTATAAATATCAGTATATTATTATTGGAATAAGAACGATAAAATTAATGATTCTTAAAAGCACAACAAATTTAATATTAATTTAAAAAAAAACAACAGCTCGTTTGCGTTTACATTAATGTATTAATACTGCACAATATAGCTGACTATTAGTTTTGATTTCATTAAAGTAAAACTGTTATATTATCTCGAATAAAGTATTTCAGATATTTATATTATATTTGATCGATGCACAAAATATTCGAATACAGAAAAGTTCAACTAGTCCCAGACCTAGATAGAACACTAATTTCTTCCAAAGGATAGTATCGCGTATTGCGTTGCGTAATACGATTTATTAATTTCTTTCACTTCGTGTTGTTCAGATCCAAACGACACAAATCATGGGATCGATACAGTTAGGCATCCAGCATGCGGTTGGTGGTCTAGCGAGCAAGCCAGAACGCGATCTGTTGATGCAAGACTTCATGACCGTGGAGACGACGAACTTCCCGAGCGAGGGATCGAATCACACCCCGGCCCATCATTTCTCCGAGTTTAAGTTCAAAAATTACGCACCCATTGCATTTCGCTACTTTCGTGATCTCTTTGGCATTCAACCGGACGACTTTTTAGTAAGTATGGACGGTCGAACGTTTCCTTCGGGGAGTCACGATGGAATCACGATTTCCGATGAATTCCAACGTTTCTCTCTCTTCCTTTCTTTCTCTCTGTCCTCTCGTAATGGCCATCGTCGGCGCTCGTAACACGCGCTGATCTAATGACTGCGCTTGAATATTCAGATGTCGATGTGTAGTGCTCCGTTACGCGAATTATCGAATCCCGGCGCTAGTGGAAGTATCTTTTATCTAACAGATGATGACGAGTTCATCATAAAGACTGTACAACACAAAGAAGGCGAGTTTCTGCAAACGCTTCTACCAGGATATTATATGGTGAGTTGATCAATTTACGTAAGCACGGTTGCAATCGTATCGCATCGCGAATTGCGTGCACTGTTTTCTTATTGCAGAATCTGAATCAAAACCCGAGGACGTTGTTGCCAAAGTTCTTCGGGTTGTATTGCTATCGGTGTAATAGTAAGAATGTTAGATTAGTCGCTATGAATAACCTTTTGCCCTCGTCGGTGAAATTGCATCAAAAATACGACTTGAAAGGGTCAACGTACAAAAGAAAGGTTCGTAGCGTTACGTAAATACGATAAAACCTCGATTTAGCTGGATAATTGGAGGAAGCGGTGCTCGTTGAATCCGAACGTCCCTAAAATAGCGAGTGTATCTAGATATATCTCGGTTATTACGAAACCAGAAGTCCTTTAAATAACAAAGTATATGTTGTTGAACACGATACAATCCGTGTATACATTGAGAACTATAAATTTAGTCACACTTCCTAGAAGTGTGAGACCAAAAACCGAATACATCAAACGTTTTTCTTGGGAGCATTAGCAAAGCACGACACTGTTAGGTAATCTTAAACAATGTTTGTTGCGAGCAACACAACAAATTAGCGTCATAAATACGATGTAGGTAGTATGGACAGTCTCATCCAATTCCAGGAACTCTTACGTTTTCGACAACCGACTGTTTACATCCAAATTTCCCTTGGTACACCTTTATAATCTTCACGATTACGGTCGAGTCTCGGAACAGTTAACTATTGTTGAACGCTGAATCGATCACTTCTTCGATTTGCGCTCAAAACGAGGTTCATGGTAAGGAAAAATTCTTTCTTCAATTCTCACATCTACGCGCCAGCACACAACCCTACCATGAGCCTCCCCCAACTACTTTGGGGAAAGGTCGTTGACCAACAACGGCAACTTTCTCCAACGTCCTCAAGTGACGTCTTTGCTCAGATGTGACGCACCCCCTTCCAAGGGCATCGTTGCAAGGGTGCTTGGAAGGGAGGAGACGGCGTCGGAGTTGCCGTTTCAAACAGTTCGTTCCAACATTCGAACCACAAAACATCATTCTCGCTACATTCTAAAACATCAAACATCGTCATCAAACACATCTTACTATAGTATCTTAATAAAGTGTGCAATAAACATTAGAAAACTCGAATAAAAATTTATATTGAATGGCAAATTATTCAACGGATACCGCGGGCCGCAACAACTATACCTCTGTCCAGTTTCCAATAGACCACCATTTACGATATAAAATATTTCTACAAGTGTAATTTATATATAAAATAGAGTTAGTCGGATTCTGTCCGTTAAATCGAGGTTTTGCGAGTCTCCACGATTCACGCGTCCAACAGACATTTTCTCAACCGTCAGGCGTCGAAATCAGAAAGATCCAAGTCCTCGCCGACGTACAAGGATTTAGATTTCATGGAGCATCACGCGGAAGGTATCTTTTTGGAAGCCGACACGTACAGCGCGTTAGTGAAAACGATTCAAAGAGATTGTCGGGTATTGGAGAGCTTCAAAATCATGGATTATTCTTTGCTCGTTGGTATTCATAATCTGGACCAGGCTGCGAGGGACAAAGCGGTAGGTACATGCTAGGTACATGCTATCTAGGGTGTTACGGTACTATGAGAACAGCGTTAAATGTGAGCTGTACGTTGCAGCAGGAGCAGAGGTTATCAGCGAGCGCGGATGAAGAAGTCGCGGAAGTCGGTGGCGAGAGCGCAGGATTCCTTCAAGCGGAAAGGGAGCGAGATAGGGAGGACAGGGTGGGAGCGAGCGCTCTGAACCGATCGCGAAGCATAAACCGACAAAGGTTGGTCGCCCATAGTACCGCGATGGAGAGTATTCAGGCTGAAAGCGAGCCGATAGACGAGGAGGACGACGTACCGTGAGTATCGTGTTTCAATGGCTTAGAATTGTATAAAACGCGGATGCTCTAATAACGTGTTTTAATTACGTTCGTGTTCCTAGCAGTCCAGGTGGTATTCCAGCTCGCAACGCACGCGGCGAACGCCTGTTGCTCTTCCTTGGTATCATTGATATTTTGCAAAGTTACAGGCTCAAGAAAAAACTCGAGCACACGTGGAAGTCGATGGTACACGATGGCGTAAGTACCAAGAATACATTTTGTTTTTATCTTCTTGCGGCGAATGTTGCGCGACGACGTTCGTAAATCGCATCGATTTTTCATCGAAGAGAAGCGTGTATGTGACTTTTAACCCTGACGTTAAATGTAAAGAAGAAAATGTCGGCATTTTTTTACAGGACACCGTGTCCGTGCATCGGCCAGGTTTTTACGCGCAACGTTTTCAAGATTTCATGGCCAAGACAGTATTCAAGAAGATACCGTCACGTAAGTACCATCCTAATCAGCCTCTTCTAACAAACTTGACCTCAATGTTAACACTCAACAAGGCTCATTCCTAATTTTGTAAGCGATTTATTTGACGAGTTACTTACGGGTTATAATGGATTCTGGACTGACGTATCTCGTCTAGTGTCGTCGAACGATTCGGTTTGTCTTATAAGCATAAAGTACAAGAGAGATGCTAGGCTTTAAGTAGAGTAGTAGAACTATAACGACAAGTATTTTTATCGCCAGCTGACCGTGATTAATGACTATCTTTCTGTTTATAGTAATAGCATCAATTACTGTGATTCAACTATCATACAATGCAATGTTATCGCGTAGTACCTTTTACATAAGCGAACGAAAGAAAGAGACTTCGAGACATATTTTAAACGTACGGATAGAAAAAAAGAAATGGGGGTGGAGAGGAAGTTTGAAGATTTAATCGCAAGGGTTAAAAAAATAATGCTCAAAATGGTACTTATTATTACGCGCGTAACTCTACCGTTTACATTTAAGTAGCGACGTTGATTGTCTTGTTACTTACGAATTCCAGTTTGTGCGAAGCAGTCAGATATAAGTTAGAGTTACGTATATATTTTTTAGCTTCTTTATTATATAATCGCCATCGCCGAACGTTCCAATTCATTTATTCGAATTCAGTGACGCTTATTTTGTTCTTGTGTGATAACAATTTTCGGTGTCGAGTCGTGTTCTAAGCGGATCGATCGATCATACGATATTTTCGATCCATAATCAGAGGATCGAGTCAACCGATCAAACATTTGATACAGCATATCGTTCGTTTATTTTAAGACGTTCGAAGCGAGAATAAGCGAAATCAATTTTGCCATCATACATCATTATCACAGACAAATTTAGCCGTCCAGAAAGATTCTAATAATCGTAATAGCCACTTAAGGTAAATGACTGCAGAAAATGCGACAAATCCTTGTGCGGATATCCGAAAACTACGCGCGATTGACTGCACTCGTTTTAAGTGAACTTTTAACCATCATTTCGAATCGCGTAACACATCCCGTTAGAAATGATAAAAAGAAAAGAAAAGAAAGAAAAATCGTAATCATAATCAGCAGCCCCGACGTCGATTTTTCGGATACCTGCATTCTTTCGTAATTAATGCTGTCGATTAAGCACCCCTGGGTTCATTGGATGTGTAGGTCACCTTTGGGTTTTGTATTGGTGTAACTAATTGCTAACACGATACACATATTTTTCGATTTTTTTTTCTTTTTTTTTTCTTTTTTAATTTTACAGTATTCTTAAGTTTTTAATATCTATATTCTTATAAAGTTCCCGACCTCATTATTCATTTCACGTTTACTTTCAAAACAGACCTTACGGTCTTGAAATGTAAATTCATTGACGAGCACAAAAATGACCAGTCCACTGGTGTCCACATACGTAGCTGAGTATTTTATGCATCAAAGTCGGTATCGAGTAAACTCTTGGAAGCGAATCGTGCTCTAACACAACGGGTCGATAATAGGTGTAAGGTTTCCGCGAGAAGCGCATTATTGTAAGGACAATTCCACATTTTTCTGTTAAAACGTTGCCGTCCCTATACGCACAGAATTTATCCCGCTATATCGAGTGATTGAAAGTTCAGGTTCGCATATATCGAAGTTCCTCGTTGAGAATCGACGTGCCAAAGTTTTTGTAAGAGTATCGCGACCCTCGTGTTCCTAATAGTGTTATAGGGTGTAGGCGTGATCACTGGTGTCTGTTGTTAATGATAAATTATGTCACGGATCGCACAAAATTCTATTTCCTCTTCTCTTTTTTTTTTTTTTTTTTTTTTTCTTTCGCCGATCATTCGACTCGCGCAACAAAATCTGCAGAAACGATTCGTGCAGTTTCAGACATCCGAACAATTTTGTGCGATTTACAAACGACGTAAAGAAGTCCTCACGCCGTGTACGAGTCGAGTATATATTTTGGCTAGTTAGTATGGCGTGGGCGTGTCAGAGAGAGAAAGAGAGTGCGTGAGAGAGAGTGAGATCAAAAAAAATGGTAGAAGTAGACACGTTCTTTTATTGTGAAAATATTCAGCTATCGGCTCCACGTGGACACCAATGTACATAATTATATATTTTGCAATAAACATTTTCGCTGTTTACCAACTTCATTTCATTTATAAAGCCTACCCGTACATTTACTTTTTTTTTTTCTTCTCTTTAACCGTTTCCACTTAATGTTTCTGTTTGTTCTTTCTACTTCTACTGTCCCCGCTATACTACTCTCACTATTGCTACTGCTACGCGTGGGTCGCTGCAGGGACTCTTGTGGATTTTCTGTAATTATAACACCTCGTTCAATATTTAAATAGCTCGTTGTTTAACTTCTAGGTAACCAGATTGATCCAGTAATTAATTCATTTTTCTTTTAAAATCAATCAGCAGCTCGTCCTTCAGTGTGTCTACGAATGGAGAAAGCGGCCTTGAACAGTCGATTGATTTTATTTCTACTACAGTTAATTTTCCCAGTGTCGTGCATAGTGTCTAATAAAACGTAGACGTATTTTCAAGGCTGAGTTCAGCGTTCACAACATCAGAAAAAAAGTTGCTAGAAACGTTTACCACGTCTGACCCTATTTACCAGTTGTTATTTTTAGCGTCTCAATAATTCTCACTCTAAGTCGAGGTAATTAGTACTCGGTTATTTGAAACTTGCACTTTGTATCCCGCTAACTATTTCTGAACACTTTCGTAATATATATTAATGAAAAATCGTACACAAGAATCCCCGTGGCTGCTACGCGCCGTCACTAAATACTATTTCATCCACTCTGTCCTCTTTATCCCCTCGTCCGTAGCTATGAATTCATTCGAAGTTTATTTTCTGCACTGTCATCGCGTTACCCACTTTGTGTACTGTCTTAAATAGCGTATCATGCGATATGTGTTTGTTGTTTGTATTTTACCGTACGTTTGGGTTTCACTCACCACCTGTTAACGATACTTGTGTACTTTGCGATGCGACTAACAGAGTACCGACTCACCGACTCCGATTTAATTTCTCCCTTATTTTGATTTCACCGAATTTTTGTCGCGCGTTCGTTTCAGTTACGTTAACATTCCTATATAATTCACAACACTTTTTAGATATACTCCATACGTAGGAAACTGGTTTATTCGAGCGATCTCGACCAAGAAGTTCATAACGCAAGAAGTAGGACTCTTATCAATTCTGGGACGACCTCGTTCGGACGCGAGCACTTTCAGACGTCGGTGCCGAATTAAAATTCACGCTCGAGTTAAGACGCAATTAGAGTCGGGTTCAAGACGCGCGGAAAAAACATGTTAGCGAGACTAACGAGACACCGTTTAACGGCGAAGAAGATCGTTAAAAGAGTTTCGTGCGATCGGGATTCGGGTCAGCTCGTAAGAACACGTTCGAATAATCGAGTTTCCACAAACACTAGAAACGATCAAAGGAAAATTCGCGATAGGATAAATGACGTATACAGTGACCCTTTGTTCGTCATCGACAAAGATGAGAATGGTACTTTACCGTCGCTTTTTCCTCTTCCCTTCTCTTTATCTATCTCTTATCTACGATTATCCGAGGCAAGAATGTACAACCCCGCTTTCCTTTGTGTTGCTATTTATTCTCGACAGCCCCTTACGATTCTATCGTTTAACAATCCGGTATTATATAAACGATGTTGAGTACGGAGTTTAGCTAAATGTTGATGTTTTTGTGTCCCGTGCACTTCTTTCCGTGTCAACCCCAAATGACCTGATCTGACCTGCTACCGATCGAAACTCGAAAATCGAATACCAAAAGTGGACCTGCCTGAGATTAAGGGGAATCATCGCAAATTCCGTAACCTCGTCACCAGCTACATAGGTAACTTTGTCTGTTCGTCCGTCTGTCTATCTGTCCATTTTGTATGGTTGTACCACGTATGTTCGTTTTGTTTATTTTTCTGTCTCGTTTAATACGATCGTCTCTGCTTGTAATTGCGTACTTTTCTCTCTATCTCACTCCGTATGCCCTGGTGTTATTGCTCTTTTGTACCCGGATAGAATCCTCGATCTCGTTACCAAAAAAAAAAAGAAACATTTTTGCTTTTACCAGCACCTTTAACGAAACTGTTTTCCATCATGCATCGTCGAGTTGTCGAATTACATTAGATACGCTTTTCCTTTTCTCTCGGCAAGAATCGGTCTTTGATAGAACGGTTCACGAAATGCAGTTTTTTCCTACGCGTAGAGAATTTGAGAAATTGTCTTAGATGTGCGTCTATCGTGGCATGCGAAACGAACCCTTTTTTATTATAATCGTAGATGTAAGAAGAGATATACAGTAAGTAGGAAAGATTGTAAACAGCTTTTGTTTTTCGTTAACCAAGCCATTTTTCTTTTACTGTTTCTTTTTCGTTGTGCGTTGTACATAAAATTTGGTTTCTTGTGCTTTTATACCAGTCTTGAAGGTTTGAAGATTTCTTGTTTTCAGTTTTGTTTTTCGATGAATTATCCTCGCCCACCACTTTCTTTTAGACAACCTTTTCTCGTGTACAAAGTATTTGCACCTCGTATTCGCGTATCAGCTCTGAAGAATTTTATCTCGCAACGCTTCTTTGATTATCTTTTTCACCTATCTTTGATCACTCTTATGTATACTTGTACGTCTAAATATGTGTGTAAATGTTTGATCATGCGGATGCAATTGTAGATGTTTGTATTCTCCACTACTTGCATTCTACGTCGGAAATATGTATGAGAATGTATATGAATATTTCTGCCGGAAATACGGGAACGGTTCTGTTCTTTTCTTTTTCACGAATTCGACCGTTCATCGTATTCGCCGGCGAAAATATGGAAGTTGTAAAGTCGCAACGAAGCAACCGAGTTCGTTCCACTACTATCGTTTCAATTTTCTACTGCTTCTGCGATGCCCGTGAGATCTGTGTGTGCCTGGTCAGATTTTCTTCTTTTCGTTCATCACTTTCTCACACTTCTCTTCTCCTTTTACGCTTCGACACGTTCACAGTTTTTCAAGGACACGTTTAACCACCCACCTCCATCGAAAGACCCTCTTATTTTTACGCGAATCTAGGTCATCCTCTTCTCGAGAGCATCCGAGAACCAATATACGATCCTACTGGCCGCGGCTGTATTTTTAACATCGATCCTTCGTCTGCCACCGTTTGGATGACGTCTACGAACGTCTATCGAATTTTTCGTCAGGAACATTTTTGCATAGAACGTGAATATAATCTCCACATTTTCACCCATGTTTTTACTTGACAGCCCCGGTACTTATCTGACAATGAAAGTTTAAGGTACGATACGACCTGTGAAAAGGATTTCCTCCGAGAAAACCAGCGAATCATGAAGTTAGGTCTCTTCTAGACGAAACATTCCATGTTGCAACACTGGAAACGCGTTACAGTTACGACGGAATTAATTGGCCATCCAAGGTCACCGATAACATTTGCCCCCACCATAAATATTCGACTCCCACCACTCTAGCTTTCACCTTTGATCCTCATCATAGTGAAATTAATTACAGTTTGAATACTGTTTCAAGTAACATTTTATCCAGTTTCATTTTTCTGATTCACTGGAAGAAAAATTAGTATGACGAATAAGGTAAATGCACTTAAATGCAACACCAAATCATCTATACAATTCGTTTCGTTAATACGATTATTAACAATTTGGTTGAGGCATTATCCTTTTTACTTACAGTAAACCATGTGTTTTAAAATTACTAAGATTTGCAACATCATGTGATTGTATCTTTGGAAGATTACAAGCAATTGTTTTAAATCCACAAATAAATCTTACAGTTATATTTTTCATTACACTGTTCAACAGTAGAACATTATTTCTTTCTTCAGGATTTAAATATGAAACACACCACTATTTTAATAAAAAAAAAAAATATTATTTCTATACCATAAATGCTCTATCTTCTAATAGAATCCAGCAAAAAATAATACCTAGAATTCTCCATTAATATTCAAAGTGACTGCTAAACAAGATATGTAAATGATTGGGAATCTTTATCTTATATTTCATTTATATTTTACGTAGAATTGAATCACGAATATACAAGCTGTACAAATTTGCCTAGAATCCAATAATTTTCTATTCACAATTCACGTAGTGGTGATGAACGATCGGCGACCTTGAGCGTCCAAATCATTCCGCCCCTACTTCGCAAATCTATCCAATTCGAAGCAGCTCTCGCACTGCACGACTACTTTTGTTCTCGTTCCGTTAATATTTAAATATTCAGCATCTTGCTCGCATAATTGAATTAATAAAGCTCACAGCGGATCAACGGCTCAGTGCTTTAACGTTGCGTCGCTCATTTTGTCAGAATACTATTCACAGTTCCGTAGAATCTCGAGACGCGCCTCGTTCCAGTTAACGCCGTTCACCGGGTTTTAATCAGACCTGAACATAACTCAGCGATGTTGGTTTAGCCTAGAGCTAGCTACACGGCGAACCAACGGTAGGAAATCGTTTTCGCTGTTCGTCGCGATTACGTCGATCGCCTGTCTCGAATACGATACGACGACACGTTCCATTTACGTACGTACGTAGTTTACATGTGATGTTTCAGTTACAGAGGCATGTTACATCGGGAAGTAGCGTATCAAGAAGCGACAGAAGGTAACGATCCGGCCATAGAAAGAACTCTGTCGACGAAGAGAGCTTTCAATGTTGTCGGCGTAATTATGCAGGGTCCACTGTAACGCGTGGGAGTTAATTCAGTGATGGATCGGTGACACAGGAGTAATGGGAGGAAAGAATTAAGAAGGCAATGGCTACGAAAGCATTTTATGACTCAGTAATTGTGCAAGTGGTCTGAGTAATTTTTTTAATATCTTTTTCAAAGTTGTTGCTGGTACTATGTACTGGAATATTAAGTGGCATAATTTGATAGGACTAATTACAGTTAGATGTATACTATCTATTCTAATGTGTAGTTGCCAACACTTATCCACGCGCTATTATTTCAGGGCTCTTGATAAACTTGTTGAGATATACAATATTTAATCACGTAAAAAATTGTCAAAAGATTAACCTATTCGTCACTAATTGAGAAATACTAGTCAGATTATAGTATCATGACATATTTCTGCCCATATATTTACACTGAATTGCTGCTGGTGACTTAATTAGGGAATAACATAATGCAAATAATAATATATTAAATAATTGTTTGATTTAGAAGTCTATTAAGTTTGATAATAAGCAAAGTTTTAGAGCTATCGAGCATTCTATACAGTTACACTAGCTCAGTTTTAGTTGAGTGTACTTTGAGTACAAAGGTGGCTGTAACTTTGAAGCAAATTCAAATAGGACACATGTTAGTATAAACGGTGTTTATTCTTTTGTGTCCCCAATATATAACTGAAATGGTTCTCACATGTTATGGTGGACCCTGTATATTTTAAATTGTCGTTTCAAAAAATGTATTAGACATTATCCAGGAGACTAGCTCCCCCGAGAAAATCGTCAACAATTAGTAGTTTCGCGTCTTTCCCAGATAGAGTAGAGAAATCAAAGAAGCGTAGCCAGACGGTGAAGGAGTTAGACATAGTCTTGACGAGCAGTGCTGTAGCAAGAATCGGTTTAGACATTGAAGCGTCGTATCTGAAGAAACCTTATGTTAATATATTGGACCATTTATTCCACGTGGAACACGCCAATGGGAATTGAGAATTTATTTCTTAATAATTCATAGCAACACGTCTGAAACAATTGGTAGAATATCGATTCATTAAAGAGAATAGCAAGCATTCTGCATTTGAAACTCACTAGACAAGCGTTAAAAGAAAATCTTTGTTGATCAGGGCAATTTATGTATTAATTTTAGTGTAGCAGAATCTAGATAAATATTTCTATTTATACAAGAATGTAATCACTGTACGTAACGAACAAAAATTTCTCTTTTTCTAGCTTCAAAAAGAGCTTGTATGGTGGCACGTGTTTTAAATGGCCCAGTATAAAACACGTAAAGAACAATTGCAATGGAAGTTGACAATAAACACGATGCAAAAATAGAGATCCCGTAACACAATTACACGGAAACGTACCATGGTATTGAACGCCCAGCTTGTTCAGAACTTTTTCCAAACAAAGTTAGAAAGCTTCACGCGCAAACGGACGCTTGGTACGGCACTGACGTCAGCTTTTGTAGCGTTAACTCGTTTGATCCCCGCCCCCCTCGATAGGCACCGATCTGAGATCTCCAATTGACCGTTCCGATTTCCATGAGTATACATCGATGTCCTTAGGGTTGACCACGTATGTTTGGAATTCTAACCGGTACGATTTGTGTTTCAGCGTTGAAACATTCCCCGTCGAAGAGGAAAAGCATCACCAGGCCGCTCAGGCCCCTGGACGGCGACTTCGATTCTACCGGTGAGTCCGCCCATGCATTTAACATTATAATATTTTTCGAACATCTTTTTACGCTTTACGCGGTCTCACGCGACCCGGAAATTCACCGATTTTCGGAACCAAAGCACATGCCTGCAATCCCTGCAATAGAAGATCGTTAGTCAGATATATCATTGACGATGAAACAAAATTAAAAAGGAAGAATTAAGAGAGGCCAACGATAAGATAATATTTCTTACAAGAGTAGGTGGCTATAGTTATTTGATAGTTTTAAAGTTATAATTCGGCGAAGTGACATTACTTGTATATGTGTATGCATAGAACATAACTATGTAGGTATGTGACTTTTAATAATTGTATCTTTAATACTCTCTAACTATGGCTAATGATTCACACATATGATTAGAAATGTGTATTCTATTGAACTACAGAAGGTCGTTGAAAACAAAATGGTCCAATTCGGATTTTTCCTTGTTATTATCTGATGTAATCTTTGAATTGAACATTGAATTTCGAAAGAAACACTTTTAAAAAATGACCTGTTAGTGGTAATATTTATCCCTTCCACCCAAGCAGTTTCTTCTTTAGAAATTTTGCTCTATCGTCGAAAATGTTATAGTTCTTTCATTGACAATGTGAATTCACCTATCCAGTACTTTACTTTTTCTCGAATATTACTACCTAGTATTTACTTATTTTTTTTTAATTAACAACGTACTTCAGTAAAATAAAAACCAGATGAAAAGAGAAAGGTCCATCTACCATATAACTTGACCCTAATTAGGAAAACTGAAATTGTAGAGTGGGAAGTACCAAAAAGAATACGTCTTTTTTTATACAGGATGTTCGGCCACACCTGGGAATAATTTTAATGGTAGATTCTAGAGGCCAAAATAAGACGAAAATCAAGAATATCAATTTGTTGATTGAGGCTTCGTTAAAAAGTTACTAAAAAATTTCACATAATTCTCGGAAAAATTATTTTCGGTTGCGGGGGTCAATTACAATCATTTTCGGTGAATAGACATACCTTCGAAATTCTACTCATTTTCGAGAAAAAAATTCGAGTAGGTGCTGAAATTTTTCGGCAAAAAAAAATTTCAAATCGTTCTGGAAAAATTGTTTTCGTTTGCGGAGGTTAATTACAATTATTTTTGGTGAATAGACATACCCCTGAAATCCTATGTGCTTTTAAGAAAAAAATTCTTCACCGAAAATATACTGTGTGGTCGTAAATGTTTCTATAACTTTTTAACGAAGCCTCAATCAACAAATTAGTATTTTTGATTTTCGTCTTATTTTGGCCTCTAGAATCTGCGATTAAAATTTTTCCTGAGGGTGATTGAACACCCTGTATAATTTGAAGGAAACCACTTCTTATATGTAGAATGATTCGTTTGATATATGCCTGTAGAATTAAATTATAAAAGATGTTGAAAAATGTATGGGATCAAAGTTTTTAAATAAAAAGCACTGTCAAATAGGGAGAGCAAACACAGTTTCTATCAATTTACAAACTTCCACAAAGAGTACAATTTTTATTTGATAAATTTTTGAATATCTTTTGTAATTTAAGAGTTACATAAGCATAAATAAAATAATGATTACCTCTGATAGAATAGCGCGATTCCATAAAAATCTGGTGATTCCATTGTGAGTGCCCAAATTTAAACAGATTAAAATTTTTTCATAATTTGACAATACATAAATGTACCACATGAAAACAGCCAAACTATTGCTCTTTTTCATTAACAATTGCACGTAGCACCTAATTACGAAAAAATCCTAATCTGTACAATACTCCCGCTCTACGATTAATACAAAGAATCAATAACAGTAAAATTTAAAATAGAAGTCGTGAAAACAGAGTTGGACAAATTTTATTTCCGAACGACAATTACACATTTTTTAATTCGTAAACTGGTCCTCGATATTGATTTGAAAAATCGGCTAACAAATTCTAAGTTTAAACGTGAACGAAAGAAACTGGTTCACGAACGAATCGAAATTTTTCCATTCGTTTTTCGAAAATAAAATTTGACCAACCGGGGAGAACGATTCGAGGCGTCCTGAAACCGAATATACATATATTCGAGAGTAAAGTACGACCGCGACGGCTGGATGGATATCGAAAGCTCCTTGTTTCTGTTCCGAAAATCGTTGCGGATGATTCGAAACGAAAATGTTCCACGTTTCTATTATTGGCTTTGCGCTGAATTTCACGTGTGTAGCCAGGCACAGCGATCAGTGCAGTAAACTTAGATGCGGCATTCCCACGTTGCCCGCTTCCAAAGTGTTCACCACGATCCCTGTCCGTGACGGCTCCAAGAATCCCCACTGAATCAACCCTTATCAGCGAGCCGTTCCTTTCAGAAGATACCTTGTCGCTTTTACGAAGATTGCTCGCACGTGCTTTCACGTGCGAATGACGTACGCCCTATCGTGTTTCGTGTCGGTAGGTGATCCATTGTCTCACTCCATCGAATCATGGGTACGAATAGAACACGCCACAACAGTGAAACGTAATTTTTAAACCCTGGCGAAAAGGTTGGAAAAACTATCGAGGAAACCGGAGAAAGAATCATGCAGGGTGTTTCGTTTCGCTTGATCATTGCAGATGTCTCGGTCCCCACTTTTTTACCGTATTATCGATAACATCTAGCTTTTTTTCGTTCCTTAATGCCATTTATTTTTAATAATTTTTTGGTCGAGCACTTTCAAATCAATATACGAATTTTACTCCTTTCCTGGGTATTTATTTTCTCAGCGTTTCTGTAATACGCTCTGATTCAAGGTTAAGATGAAAAATACTTGGGAACATTGAAAAAATAGATACTTAGGTAAGGAAGAAAGTTTCTGTATTAATTTAAATTTGTTTAAACGGTCAGAAAAGGAAAGTAAACATTTTAAAGTGTTAAAACATGCGCGTACATTTTTGTCATTGAGGAACGACACATTTAGGGTGGCCAAGTTACGCGACAACACCCTGTGAGTCCGACGCGTTTATGGGACAACGATAATGCGATTCCATTCGCGACCCGACGACGAGAAAAATTTCTAGAGACGGAAAAATGTGATCGAATTCCATCTGGAATTGTTTCGTATCGTATATTCGTGAATCGTCCGATATTTCGAAAAGCCCATTCGATTCTGTTTGCAGACGCAAAGAACGTACGTATACAGCTTTCTATCGTGAATGTCAGTCGAATGCGCGCATTCCGATCATTGAATTCCTCTGTTTGCCACGAACGTCCCTTGCTCGAATCCCTGTTTTATTTCGGGACACCTTCGATCCGTGACTGGACAGAGAAACCGATAAAAAAAAGGAAAATCGAACCTTCGGCGACCGTTTGTCGTCAACGATCGAGCGAAAGAAACGAATAATTTTCTAAAGGAATTTTTATGGAAGTTTCTCTGTCCGATCAAGAGTCGCATACACGGTGATACGGTAATGGTACATGGTGTTATATGGTGGTTTAGCGGTGCCGACAACCGGAAGTTCGACAATGCATGCTACGTCACCCACGAAGGCCGGTGAGTCTCATACGATCACTTACTTTCCTAGTGTCCATAATCATTTCTATCTATCGCGTTCTCTTTCGAGAAAATCAGACAATGATTCGACATTCTTTATTGCGTTGAATACGTTGATAGTGAGATCTATATATATATAGCATCTTAACAGGAATTTCAGTATTCGTATTTATACATATAGAAATTGATTCACTGTCATTGTAACTCAGTCGTGATCATAGCCACCCTTTGTTCTATTGTTACCTATTGATATCTTCTCTGGCGGACGGTGGAACGTTGCTTCAGAACCTTCGAACTTACCAATTTATTGCGAGGATGTAAAGTATTATAAATGTTCCTCGGAGAGTTTACTCTATATGGATTAAATAATACTCTTTAACACGTTCACGCCGGCGCCGATATTCAGGGTTTTCTCTGTGAGGCGGCGCCCGAATGCACGGTTTGCTTCTTCGGGCGGCGCAGCGCGCTAGATTACACTGTTCAACATGATTTTTGTGCGGTAATACCCGCTAGATGATTCTTATAGATCTCGACGAGCTAAAAACGAATCTGAAATCAGTTTTTATCCATCATCCTTAGTTTTTGAGAAAATCGATTTTGAAAAGAATCGCAAATTTTCAACTTTGACCACAATTTATTACAAAACTACAAAAGCTATGCGATTCCTGTTGGATTCAATGAATTCCGTGGACTTCAACTAATACATTTATATACAATAATTTGGAAATATCAATTTGCATATATTTGTAAATGTTAAGTAAATCTGACGGGACCAGCTATGGCCCTAATTTTGGAGTACTCTTTTCGATTTTTCTTAAAAAGTAGAGGTCTAACGCGAATTCTGACCATCGCACGTTATTCTGTGAACATTTTTCTATAAGAAATGTTCATAGCGTGAATCAAAAAATTTTTCAATTCCGTACAGGAAATAAAAATAGTCATGCATGTTCGTGTGAGCCACCGGTGGTACGCGCCGGCGTGAACGTGTTAATTATTTTTTCTTACTATACGTATATTCGATATTTACATACAAGTAGTCGTGGAATGATTATTTAAAAAACAAGTTTTTATTAATATGAAATATTTGTATATTTTGTTTTAATTTGCTGTGAATCAAATGATAGTTTTATGTGGTATGATATTAGTTGCACCTAAGTCCATCGAGTCTTGACACTGTATGGCACTTAATTTTATTTATTTAATTTCAATTTAATGTTAAAATAACAAGTATATCTACAGCTTGGTAACAGGCAACACTAAATTTTTGCTTTAAAAACTAATAAATACTACGTTAAAACCAAAATTTTATTAATTGGTCAAATAAACCATGTATAAACACATACATATTTATCCATCAATTTTTCAAACCGACAATTTTATATTGTACTCTGTGTCAGTGCAAATGCATTTCCTGTACTCCCGCTATTTTTAATATTGGTTAATCAAACATTCTATCTGTAGCACTTTTTAATAGCATATTTGTAATAATTTTGAACTATTGGGTCCAGCAAACTGGTCTTCCCAGGGTTAATCTAGATTTTCAGATATTCTGTTATTCTCTACATAAACGTAACTATCATTTTTGTATTTATGCATAAAATAATACTCACCCAATGTTGCATCCTACATTACTAGCAAATAACAATGTTCATGATGAAAAGTTCAGGCCTCATGGATTCTAGACAAGAAAACAATAACAAAAGTTCGTACAAACATGTATCCTATTCGACCCTATTTTCAAGTTGTAGTTCTATGTTCGATTCATTCTTTCGAAAGATAAGGATAATTGAACTATTTACGAACAGTGGCCAGTAAACATTAAAGTACTAGCTGTCAGATTATTGAAATATGTCGTGTGTGAAAATGGGAAGTTTATCCAGATATGAACCTTGAGTATAGGTTTATTATTATAAATAATATCTTGACAAACAGAGATGATGAGATAGCCAATAGTAGGACGTCTCCAGACTTATATTTAGATGCAAACAGCTCGTTTTGAACACCTATTGTAAAAGTAAATAGGTACAGTAGTGATTCTTAAAATGAACACGTGACTCGTAAATTGAACATTTCTATAACTTTCAAGAATCATTACGTCTTCAACAAAATACTCACACACACGTTGATACGAACTGTCGTCATTGTTTTCTCGTGTAGAATCCATCCCTGAAGTATTACGTCCCACATGCTACATGGACAGTATATTCACATCGACGTCAATAAATTCGAAAGACTATAGCCCCAGGTTGAAGCAACGTCCCACGATTCGTCGTTCGCGCGACCTCTCTCACCCAGCTTCTCTGTTTCTCTCTGCCCTTTTCTCTCTGTCACTCTCTGTGTCTCTTTACCCCGTCACCGCGTCGCTGCACCCGCAACCCCCGCGCCTCTACCTGCACCCCGGGCGACGTCGACCACACGAAACTCACCCTGGACGAAGCAGCGACCCCGACAGACCCTGCTATCAGCACGACCAGCACGATGATGTCCTCTGGTTCCGCACCGATCGCCACCTCCACCCCGGTGAACTTCGCCTCGGGCCCCGTGAGTCCGCCTCCGTTGACCTTGGCCGCTGGTCCAGGTCCACTCCATCAAGAGCAACCGTTCCAGCCGACCTCGGCGGCCAAGGTCGCGAGCTATCCGGCCGTCCTGAAGGGCAGAACCGCCGCCAGCCCGCCGAACCCGAATCTGGTGCCCTCGGGCAAGATTCCGCCCCCCGTTCCTCCAAGAGGCACAGGTCAATCGAGGACCAGGTTCTCGGAGGAGCAACGAGGCCCCGGAACCGCCACCTCTACGTCCTCGATGGCATCCAGCCGAGGTGACGAAGCAGCCATAATCACGAGATACCGCTTGCATGACAGTTCGAGCATCCCGCACCACCCACCCTCACCCGATAACACTTCTGCCGTCGTTTCTGCTGCGCCCGCCGTGACTACTAACACCTCCGTCGTCGCGACTACCTCTTTCTACGACGTCGCAAACTCCGACTTCTCATCGACTTCCAACGTGCACGCATCTACGTCTACTCTCGACCACCTGTCTCCGCACGACGGACCCAGGAACACGATCTTCGAGACCGCCAGAGAGCTTCCTCGACGCTGGAACGATTGGACGATGAACGTCGAGGAGGAGGAGTTCGTGAGCGTGGAGCAGGTGGACGGTTCCTACGTGATCAGAACCAGTCCACAACCGTTCAGACCCGAGAGGGGGAACTTCAAGCATCTGCGGATCACGACGGAGACCAATCCCGACGCTGAGGACAAAGACTCCGGCTTTAGGAGCTTCCCGAATTCAGCTTCCAAGCTACAAACAACCGGCTACAAGATGTCCAGGAAGGACAAGAAGCACTCTGAGACGTACTACGAGCGGATGAAGCGGAAACAGAGGGAGCTGGAGGCCTCGATCGCTACTATTACCACCATAGCTCGTCGCACGGAGTCCAAGATGGCCGACGGGGGCAGGATCGAGGCTTCCAAAGCGAACAGATCGATCGTGAGAGGGGAGAGAAACGAGGAAAGGACGTTCGCGGAGCATAGAAGGGAGAGCAGGTTATTGAAGAAAATTAGGGAGAAGTCTGCTCAGAGGAGAAAGAAACTGGCTCCTGAGCCGTCGTCGGTGTCTCAGACCTTCGATGGTTCCACGAAAATGAAGTATTATTCTCGGAAGATCGAGACCAGTGTACGGAAAGAAGATCGTGGCGAGCATTTGGAGAAGTTTACTAGCAACGTTGAAATGGTAAGAGGCAACCAGGACGAGATTATACGTCTCAGGACCGAGAAGAGAATATTTTTATTGACGAAAGTCGACGAGATTGCAAAATGCAAGAACGACGACCCGGTAGGCGTGAGCAAAATGGCCGCCGCAAGGATTCGAGACTCGAGTTTGGCGAGGACGTCCGCTAATAATGAGATTTATTATACTAACGCCAGCGACTCGATGTGGGAGCAACCGAGGAAGAAGAAAAACGAGAAGTCGAATTTTTTGAAACCGTTGACGAACAAACTGAAGGGCGGACGTCAGGAACGATCCACTTCGAACATTTTGATACCGAACGCGTCGTTCTTGCACGGTTACGGGAGATCTTCCGGGAAGAATATTTAATTCGAATTCGAATTTTTTTCAAGTAGCCCAAGATGAAAGGGACCAACTAGATTTAAAGGACTCGTTGTAGAAAATGGAAATCGGAGAATGTCGGCGATGAAAGATCGATGGAAAATTCTACGGAAAACGAAAAGAAGAGACGAACGTTTGTGGCGATGAGAAATTTCGAATTACACGAGGACGCTCCGGAAATTAATTTTTCTTTCATGCATGCGCAAATACACATTACTCAGAAGCGCAGTAAACCCTCGTATAGCGCGATGAAGAATTTTTTTAAAAATTAATGAATAATTCGTTAAACACTTAATGTGCATATAATTCAGCATCTCTAACTAATTATACAAACGTATTATAATATCGGTATCCTTCTTGTTTAATGACGTGATTAATTATTACATTTTTTTTATACAAATTAATATACTAAATAATTATTTAAAAATTAGTTTAGCCTATATGTGAATTGTTATATGTCCAAATTGACACCGACTGTAGAGAGTTCAGTATCAATTCTAAGACTTCATTTCTTTTTAATTATCGAGTGAAAAACATTCTTAAAAAAAAGAATTGGCAAAGTGTAAATGAAAACAAAAGGAATAATTTAGTTCTAAAACAAGTTTTCGATCTAAATTATTTAATTACTTGGTGTCAAAGAATTTGATGTGTACAACGTGTAATATGAAATATCATTTTCTGCGTTATACGAGGGTCTGCTGTGCTTCGTTCGCATCTCATTACTCGATTTTTCGTGTCAGTTTGTAATAATACATCTAATCGACGACCGGTTCGAAAGAATCCTCCTACTGTTACTTCTAGACAGAGAAAAAAAGAAGTTAGTAGTTCGACGTTACGTATTTTCTACCAAATAGCTGGTGCACTTTATTGTTACTGTTTCATTGTACTCTATGCCGTTCCAACGTCGATTTTATGGCGTCGACGAGGTATCGTTTGCGATGTGGAAGCCTACACTCGACACAGAAAATTTCCACGTTTGAGTAGTAGTGTGTAAGGATTGGTTTTTTCTTGTATCGATTGAAGGTGTGTTTCTGCATGCGTAGAAGTCTCACACTGATAGAACAAAGAGTAGACGTGACATACTAAAAACCAGCTAGAAAAGCCGTACCGATTGTATTGTGGACGTAACAGATTTTCTTAATCACTAACAGACTATTGTAAGTAAATTCCGTACGAATTTCATGTTTTCGTTTTACAAACACTGAATATAGCTTGCGAAACGACTGCGTTAAATTCATATGAAATTCAATTTCATCGCCCCTTTGAAAAAAAAATGCGTTAGTAACATCGAGTTAAAATTATTATTAACTATAATTATTATTAAATATATTTATTCTTATCGCTCGGAATCAAAATTAGAACCTAAAAATTCATTAAAAAGAGACCAAAAAAAAATCTTTATAAAAATCGTCGATCGTTGCGTCTATCTCTTTAAAAAAAAAAACAATTTTGATTCTATTTCTCTATCGAAACACCGTCATTCTATCGACTCTACAGAAAACAATCTTATAGGAGTGTTTGTATGGTGTGCTCTCTGTATCACAATAAAGGGACGTTCACACGAGTGTGCTCGTTACACTGCAATACCCTTTTTGAGCAAGAAGCAGTTCGCCTTGCGCGCTGGCTAAGTAGTTCGCTATTTGTGCGCTTCCGTAGACACGCTAGTAGATAGTTGACCAGTAGATGTACCATTTTGTAAATTTTAGAATGGCTTATTCGGACTGACTTCAGTAGGAAGTGCTGATAAATGTCTAAACGTTTTCAATACTCCGATCGAGCGATAACGTTCCCGACGAAACGAACAATTTTGAAAATATTCGACGCGTACGCTTGGCCAAATCACAGAATCGTAATTATGCACCGTGCGTTGTTTAAATGTTTGACAAACGTTAGAAATGCTCTTAGCGTTATTTTACTTACGTGCTTGCTGTAATCACCGACGACACAGCGTCAAGTAGTACTCGACCTCTTTCAACTCTTTGGCAGCCATTTTTGTTCGAGTAACCACCGGAATTTTGAGCGTTGCAAACGAGTCGCGTCCAAATTATCAATCGACTGGAAAAAATACGATTCGTTCGTTGATAAAAAAGATAATTGTAAATTCGATTATATAAAATTGAAAATAATTCGAAACGCATATTTTTCGGCCTAATCGAAGGTGGCTTTCCTGCCCTGAGAATTCTGCCCCCTTAGAATTCCCGACAACGAACCAAGCACACCGTGTTGTGTTCATTAGGGCTAATTGTAGTGCGCTTTTTGTAGGTGGCACCCTTCCTTCCACCTGCTCCACCCCGCCCCCGCCCTTTGACGATGCAGTGCGCTCGAACGACCAAACCCTGGCTTCCGGTGGTCAACTGCAGCAAGGTGCACCGACCACGATCTTAACGAGCAGTCTGAGCAGTGCTCAATCCAAGCAGAACAAGGTCGTGCATCACGTCACCCTTTCAAAGACTTATCACGATGCCGTCAGGTGAGTCGACATCTTTTTCCACTTAAATGTAGCAAGATCGAGTCAAATTTATATTGAAATTATAATTATAAGCGATGACCGGATGAAAAAGTTACACATTTTACATTTTAACAATAGCAAAATATACCTTTGTTTACACCAGCATCGTTGCACTTAACTAAAAGACTGTTCTTTTTATTAGTATCCAAAACAATTTTTACCGTAGAGTTACTCCATTTACAGGAGTGATACACTTGACCAAAAAGCGAGATACACCCTAAACTTAATTTTCTACGTCTACATATCCCCCCCCCCAGAAAAAGAAGACAACTGATCAGTTCATTGTAAACGTTTCAGCATATCCGACGTCCACTTGGAGAGCAGCGGTAGCGGAAGCGGAAGCGGAGGAAGGGAAACGAAGTCGTCGTTGAGCGTCGAGAGCGGCAGCAGCAGTCGAGGAGGTGGTGGCCTAACCTGGACACCACCTGCAGGTAGCGCGGAAGGCTCGACGCCCACCTGGACAGAGGGCACTCCGTCCTACACCGAGAGCTCCAGCAGCGGTGATGCAGGTAAGTTCCTCTACGCGCTGAACATCTACTACAGCACCTGAGGGGTCCTACTGCCTGAACGCCTCGAAGACTCCTTCGTTTTCTTCTCGTGCTTCTTCTTCTTCGACCCTAACAGCGAGAGCATTTGCATCGAGCACGACCGTCTCGTTGATTGCCCTTTTCATTTGGTAAAAGGTGGAATTGAAATTACTGCCGCGAGCGAAAGACACGCCAGACACAAAGGGAGAAAGAATTTATCCATTGGTTGGGGTAGACTGAGTCGGTGTAGAGTGAATCGTGTAGTCAATGCAAACATCATTAACGATTGGAAATGGAAGACTGTATTCATGGTGAAGTATCGTTTAAGAAATATGCAATGATGGATATTTTCACTCTTATGGTCTTCTTTGGGTTTATGAATACGTAAGAATATTTTTTTTATCTCTTAGGAAATAGCTAGTTCAGAAGGACCAATAGTATCACAGGAACTTAATACTTTATAAGAATAATGCAATGTACTTTTAAAATTTACACTGACTTGTGAAAGACAATCCATTGTAGCTTTATGTATGTATTTTTACTGTAAGTTTATTTTAAATGTATTTATATCTGGAGAGGACCACAAGGTATGATCGTATGTTATTTATTAAACAGTACATCACCTTGAACTGGAATTGAAACCTTGGCAGAGCATGAACACGAAAGAAATCTCCAAACTAGACAGATCCAAATCACTATAGTCAGGGCAAGCTCAACTTGTTGCTTGAGGCTACATTCCCCTTCTCTAAATTACAGCCACCGTGACTATTTTAACGTTAGGCTTGTCCACAGATTGTGATAGAGAAATAAAGACTCAGAGCAAGCAATCAAAAGCAAATAATATAGAATAATAATATAACGTTTAGTAAACTTATTATACTTTGACTTTGGCTGTGTGTACACAATATACAAATATTAATCACCCTCCAAATAATCATTCATTTTTTAACTTGTTTTGTTATATAAGAAACATATGTCCTATGTAAAGAAAAATATATAATTGTCCCAGTTAAATGAAATACCCTGTAAACGTGTGTATAATAACAGAAAATGGAGTGGGAGGAAGCTTCCAGAGCTTGTTTGATAAAACTCTTTTGCACTATATTACTTCGCTCCTTTGTTTACTGTACAGAATTCCATACTCCTGCTAGTTCAACCAAAGATACAAGAAATAGAGTGGTGGGGATGGTTCCTTGACCTTGAGCAGCCACTTGATATTGGTCAGACTTTAACATGCATGGCGCATATCGTCCCCGCGTTTTACAGTACTCATCGAACGCGTCGATTGTCTTTATCGTCGCGGAGTCTTTTCATTCAATGGAAATTATTATAAAAACATATAACGGATCAGCCTGTCTTTTTCTCTCCAATCTGTTCGTTATTCAATATAAATCGACTCGATGCAATACCGTTTTCGTCGAGGAATGCAACCGGTGTGCCAATGAAAGCTGGGCGATTTGAATTCCATTATTATTTGCTATCATTCCTGAAACGAGAATTCGAATTAAGATAAGAGCGTGTCCCGCTGAGTCGAGCGGAAAGTTTAATCGTATCGAGTAACGGGCAATCAACGCGACGCTCGTGCCAGCAACCGGAAGTCTGATTAACGTGCCACGATTTGAGGTAGCGTTCCGAAACGAACAAAGGCAAAGCTGCCCGTCGTATCGTCGTTGCTCGAGCAGTTCAAAGCACCGAGGGTTATCGAACCATTTATAATAATCTCTGCTTTCTGTAAGAAGGAAATTCCTCTATGTAAGAAATATGTAAAACACCTAGGTCGTGCGCTAGAAGCTATCGATTCGAATTATATTTGTCGAGATAAGTAACCGTAGCGACGGAGGTAACGAATCCTGTAATCGTGACACAGAAATATGTTTCGTTTAGGTACTTAATGTCGGTTACGTTGTACGTACGATGTTGCATAACAAGGGAGTGTAAATAGAGTATTCGCGCAAATCGAGTTAAGCCTCCTAGCATGACACAACATTTTTCACAGCTACTTCGATCGTTATATCGTGCTTAAACGATACGTTAATCGTGAATATATTGTTAACGCTACTTTATACGAACGAAAAAAGCTGTATCCCGGTGCTACACGATGATTAGAATTAGATATCGTCGGCAAGAAGACACGCGAATATCGAGAATACCGATCAAGAAGAAGTGCCTAAATTTAATCTCGTTATCTATGCGTTCTAGATTATATTTCGTGTTGTCCGTGAGTGTTAACCGAGAACAGTTCTTAAGTCGTTCGAGTATTCGCGGACAAAAACGTACACTATACATATACTATTTCGCGAACGAAGGTGCTCGTACGGAAATTTTTTTTAGAGAAAACGAATACAAGAATCGGTAGATTTGAAGAGGAACATTAAATAGAAGCTGACAAGCACCTTCGAAGTATCTTTAATTACACCACGATCGACTAATTTCTCTCGTCGACGAGGATAGTCGATCGACAGTGCCGGTTGTTTCTTAGCCCTGTCTAGGTGACTTCAAGAAAAGCCTTGTCAACGCGCTCGAACCTTTCTCTCGACAACGGGAGAGCGACAATAAAGCGACCATTGCAAAAACACGAGACCTCACTCTCTCATTAAACCCCCAGTACACACACTGTTTACTTATCTTCCGGTTCTCGGTCGCGCTACCGACGACCAGCGTCGCCTAGAACCGACGTGCTTCGAGATAAGTCTCCATTTTTCTCTATCTCTCTATTTTTTCTCCGTTCTTTGCTACACTGGGCATATGTCATTAGCTACACACGCTTCTTGTCACCCGTAGACACCGATCTGTAGGACATGCACGCTTATTCTATTCTCGACGCATCTTGGAGACCATGGCTAGTCGAGGGGACCACCCAAAAGCAAATCAAATCGCGGACGAATCAATGGAAAAATTGTCTAGTTTATACGTTTTTAGATTACCAAGACTAGAGGAGCTTTTGTACGTATTTAACGTGTACCTATGTTTATAATTTTTTAATTTCACTGGATTCTCATTTCTTGATATTTACAAATTCAGTAGAACAAAGCTGTATTATTGATAGGAATACTGTCTAGAAAAAAGTATTTTTATTTTAATACAGTGGCAAGAAAAGATGTTCTGGTGGTCCTCTCGAGGCCAACAATTAAGTCTACAGTTTCTACCCCATAGATCGTCGACTTGACACGAACACTGCCGTTAGACAAACGTGTGTCTGCGCTCCAGCGATCGGCGAGCTGCGACAGGCTGACATTTCTCTTGCACTATGACGACTGACGATAATTTTAGGTTGCCCGACGACGCCGATCAGAGGTAGCCAGCGTCAAGACGACGGAGGAAGGACCGCTGCCACCGTCGAAGAGGCGCTAGCCAGTCTCACTACGGAAATGGTAAGTTGGTACTCGTAGATTTCAGCGATTGGTTATTGGGGAAGATAGACTCTGACTGTTTGGACCTCGTGATTATGGCATTTATCATAAAAAAACATCACGCAATGGTGTGTCTGTAGATTCTAGTTAGCTCAGCACAATTACCTATGATTAAATTTGTTACGGATTATTTGTAACGACTAATTATCAGATTTGAACAAGTTATTTTTTGGGTTGTTAAAATTTACACTAGCTTCCTTTGTTTAGATAAAGGTGGGATAGGTATTATATTGGATTAGATAGTAATAAGTGGACGATTTGTCATAAACTATTCTTTCCTCTTTTTTTTTATTTTATATTACAAATGAAAGACTGCGCATCCAGGTAGCCAAAACTTTGATTAAATAATAATAATTGCAAACCAAATGATACAGAATAGAATCATAAACATGAAAGAGGTCTTGCAAGCATCCACGTGTACATTGAAATTAAAATTTGTAATTCTATAAAAAGAAATCTATAATTCTATAAGCACAAAAATGTTTTTAAGAAGGAAACATTGAAGACTAATGAAACAAATGATGTAACATACATTAACATTATAAAGCAGCTTTATCTTCTTTCTTTGGAAAGAAAAAGGAAACGATTGATTTCTAAATTGCATAATTCTGCAAATATGAAAGCAAAAACCAAGATGTTATTATTAATGGATAGCTGGTTTCCAAATCACATTTATTCCAAAGATGACTCAAAGCATAGATTATTGAGACTGACATTCAGGCTGATATTAGTCGTAACTCATTTGTAACATCGACAAGTACACTCTTCGGTATTTATAAGACAGTTGATTGTCAATTAAGTAATGGATAGTTAAGATAAGCTCGACGAGGTCCGATAGCCACGATTCTATCTTCTCCGACCGATTCCTCGAGGCGGTAAGTGCACCAAAGTCGGTGACCGGTCGATCGGACTGTGTAAATGTTTTCCCCGAGTGGCCGAGGGTTTTTGTAACTAATGAACAGGCCCCCCCCCCCCCTTCCCCCAAACGACGCGTCATAGACGAGAAGTTGTCTAGGAACATGAACTCCAATGAACGGGTGACTTCAGTTCTGTGTTCAGTCGTCGTAAATATCTCTAGTCTCTTCTATCGAGTCTCTGTTGCGCCCTGAATCCGTAAAAGTCGGTTCGGTCGCGCGTGGAGTGTTCCAAAGCGACCATTTTGTTTTTTTGAATCGTTCAACCCTCCCAAATTATATCAAACCTCTAAGAAATTGGATAATAATTGCTGCAAACAGATTATTCGTCGGCCATATTCAGAGTCGTTTGACGTTATAGAAGGTTAACAATTATTTAAAGAATATTTTACAACGATTTGTCGAAAAATATTTAGAGAAGATGCATGGAGAAGTCTCGGAAATAAATAAAATTCTTTTGTAGAGAGAGAAAACTTGATGTTTCTCGTTGCTTCGAGCATCTTGGACTGAGTTTTAGAATAGTCCATCTTTTTCTTAGCGATAAGGGACTGGTATCGATAAGAGTGATCTTTTGACTCTGGATTCTACTAGAGAAACTTTTTTTATTTTAACATGTTTTATAAAATAACGAGTGAAACTTTTGGAGAATTTAAATGAAAACGTTATAAAAGTTTGAACAATTTTTACTGTATAGCGATGAAAATTGTATTTTTCACTGTCGAAAATTTAAAAAATAATGTTTACCTCCTTAATAAAAAATTTAAGTTATTTATTATCCGTATCACATTTTGCTCAATTCTCTGCTCGTCTTATAAAAGGACAGAGGACCAAAAACCATTTTTATCGATACTCGTCGTTTAGGATCCTTTTTAATATTCGAGGAGGTTGCATGAAAGTCAAACAGGTGATTCCACAAACTGTAATCACGATTAATATTAAGAACTATGTGTCTCGAATCGGTCGTTCGACTCATTGTTTTTCCACGCAATGACCCGTACGATAAATCCCAGCGTTACGACACGTCGAACGCATCCTCGAATTACTGCATGCTTGCATCGTAGTGTATGCAACGGTGATGCGACGCATCAGCGTTATTTCTCGTTTTCGCCAGGGTGTGCATTTTTGTAGTGATATACACGAGACTTGCAACACGCGAAAAAATATCGAGTACGTACGTCCGCGCGAAATGTTCTTAGATAATCCCATATTAACCCAGTATCATTATTGTGGTTCGAACTCTCGGACTATAGAGAAGCATTTTAAGCGATCGTTCCGTACAGACATATGTATGCTGTAGACGCGTAAGCCAGTCGCAAAAATAAGAAAAACTAAATCGATGAACTAAAAATTAGGACAGTCTACGTCAAAAGTCAACAACTTACTATTTATTCAGGAGGTCAAAGAAATGGCTCTCAAATATTTCGCGAGATAGTAATCTTTGAAGAAAATACGAACACGAAAGGAAATGAAACAAGAAATCCTTTGGAACGCTCCGTGCGAAGAGATCAGTCCGTCTGAAAGCTTTCTCTATTTCCACAAATCAGGAGATACTGCAGCGCGAGTGAATGCACAACTCGTCCCTTCTCTAACCTCCGTCGATTCGTGTGCAGCGTGCCGTGTGGATGGCCTGCGCCGTTCTAGCGACGAATCTTCGAAAACGGAACGGGAATGCGAAACCGCATAATCGAGAGAATATAACGTTTACGAAAGAAAAGACATGGGCGAGGGAGATTTTGTCGCGAATCGAGACAAATAGAACGAAACGACGCGGTGGTGCTCGCTTTCAAGACGCTGAATCGGGACCGAGAATTTGCTTGAAAGCGGGCTAGGTGCGGCGGGGACAAAGAAAGATTCCAAGTTAAGAAAATTGCCTTTCTTTCTTCCTACAGTAAACATTTTGATCTCGAGCCGAGGGCAATGAAGAACTACTGGGTTGCTGAATAAATATGAACAGTAAAGTAGATGGATTCTGTCTCTTGAATCCGGGGTCAAAATTGTCGGTTGAAAGTGAGTACTTTAAGGAGAAAGAAAGATCAATCTTGGATTAAGAGAAATTATGATACCATCGATAAATAGAACATGGACGTAATTATTTATACTTAGTCGCAATTCTAACAAAAATTAACTAAAAATCGACTAATACGAGTTGGAAATACCTTCCATGACTTTTCTTTGTTCCTGCGATAGAAATTTTCTTCGGGCAACGATGAATCACTGAACGAATAGACAACAGAGCAAATAAATTCTGTTTCTTGAATCCGGGGTAAGATTTGTGGATTGAAAGCGGGGATTACTGTACACGGCAGTCGAAGATACTCAATCAAACTTAGTCGTTCCTTCTTTTGCATTTTCGTGTCCCAGACGACACGATATTGTATATTCCATGTTCTGTACTTAAACAATAACGATTTCGTTCGAGACGACGGTGTATTCTCGAGTGATGAAATTTGTCACGATTCGCGAGCTTATCGAGTAATAATCCAATGTATGGTATTTCAGATATGGTATTAATTCTATATGTATTCGCGCGTGATAAGCTATCTAACAAGGCGCACGCCTTTTTCGCGACTTTGAGGCGAAAGATTTGACGAAGGAGTGGCGATTATGAAAGCTTCCGCTAGGGCCAGGAAGCGTGACGCTTGTGTATCGTGATATAAAACTCGGCCTACAGTATTAGTGGACTGTATAATACTCGACAATTCGTTCAGGATTCAAACACCTTGTGGAAAATTGATAGATTATATATATATATTTTTTTTTATATGTCAAATCAATTTTCGTGGAAACATCGGTGCAGACGAATGCGAATGGATTCTGTTTCTTCTCTTTAAGGTTCGAATTAACCCAATGTTGAATGTAACAACGAAACGTATTTCGAATTTTATCAAAAACATTGAATTACTGGATTTCATAACATAGAATGTTTTAGAGTGGCATTAATAAGTTTATTTTTCTTATCTTAGATCGTTGAATACACACGAAAGTATGAATTCTTTTTTTTTTGGTTACAGCATTAAATGAAACAAGTTTCAAGGCAAAATCTGATACATACTTCATTTTAATCTGTCTACCTTTCGTGTAAGTAGTCGATTATTTGATAAGGTTATTTAATAAGGTTAAATATTTTAATAAATATTACTACAAAATAAACTAAAATATATTGGTCAGAAGCAATAATCCATGGATATTTATTAATTTTACAATTTAATGGGTGTGAGTTAGGCTCGAATTTTTGTATACCAAATTTAAACGTATCAGGTTTTATACTTATACTATTTAATAGTAAAATTGCTCGTCGGATCGCAACAATTTTTAAAATGAATTACGAATTGGATTTTTCCTTGAAATATATTTTACTCGAAGCTCCTAGAACCAACAAGAAAAAAAATTGATACTCTTTATCTTTTGTCAACAGTCGAGTTTATATTCCAGTTCAAACGAGTATTTATTATTTGTTGAATGTGAAAAATAATTTGCTTGTACAATTTAAATTACAATTTCTATTGAAATCTTTTATCTAGATTCTTTTTTGATAATATTTTCATTGTTTGAAGTAAAATCGCGTTTCGTCGTTAGAATTAACTCATTTTTTCAGCCGTGTTCTCTCTTCCGTGTATCTTGCTGTATTATAATGGTTATCGAATCACCGAACTTATACGGATCATCCAGGTTTAACTCCGCGTGGAAACGTCGTAAAGTATCTACTCATTACCTCTTTATCGTAACTAACAATTACCTCTTGTTGTGTCAGTTAATTATAAACGCTATCAAGGGTCGCGCAATAAGGGACGAACTCCGTTAATACACGAAGGAAAGGGAAATACATTCGCGAATGGCAATAGATGTAAATAACCACTTACGATCCAATTAGGATGCAACCCTAAGTCCCGTTTTTATTACGGTAATATAGCCACCGGTCATGTACATGTACCTATATATGTGTTTCACGTTCTGTCTGTCTTCTGTACGTAATTATACATATGTACACACATAAACGAAACGTGTATACCGCATACTTTCGGATGGCCAATGAATTTGCTGACCGAAATTTCTACGGTAGGAATAAAAATCGAAGCGTCGCTGGAATCGAATATTGAATTAAGATCGATATTGCAATTATTAGAAATTTCGTTTCAGACAAACCATTGATATATTTGTTTAGGAAAATTGGAGAAAAATGATTCTGAATGGAATCGAAATTATCAGAATATTTGAAAATACCGAACAATGTAATTAATATTAAAATAGTAACCTGGAAGGATTTCGTATTAAACACTTTTTATAATCTTTAATTTTGAATTGTTTGAAATTAAATAATTTAGAGAGTGATCAAAGTTTGCATATATGTAATGCTTCATACATTTAATACATTCTATCCAAAATTATGAAGTATATTCTTAGTAACTCGTTCGTGAACCACGTGAGAATTTTTCCATTTCACCATCCATCTAAGAAACACATTACTATTAATATTTACTAAAAGGGCTTGTTATTGGATGCTTTAAATAGAATAAAATGGCGTGATCGTCCGTGGATTAAATGCACAGTAAAATTGGAGCCAAGAAAATTTAAAAAGGAGGCTACGAAGTATTTTTAATCAATTTTAATTAATTTAGAAGACGTCGAATAACTCATTGGCCATCACGACGCATATTATAAATACAAGAACTGCGCAAACTGTATTATACGAAACACGAGAATGATTGACGGAATTCTGATGCTACTATGTATACATATATATATGAATGAACCAGAAATTTATATATATATATAGGATGAAAGAGTGTGAGAGAGAGAGCAAACGAGAAAGAGAGAGAAAGATTCCATTAGTCGCAGTGCAAAGAAACATGTAAACGCGTTGCTAACATAACAGTAGGCGTGAGAGTTATCGTGAACGTTTTGAAAAACCAAAATGTTGTTCAATTACACGTACATATACGTATATATAGATATATTGTCCTTAAAGAAACGCTTTCGACAGTCGGTATATATTATATTATATTTAGGAACGGTAAAATCTAGTCGCATCTCGGTGATCGGTCCCGTATTATTCTTTCTCTAAGAAATTGTCTTTAGTCGTGTTATTTCGCTCTCTCTATGAATTTTTTTTATTTCGTTTCCTCGTTTTAGAACAACCGTTCGATATTGTCACTGTCGTCGAAAAATCGTCGCATAACGATAGCGAAGGGGATAAAAACGATGCTGTTCTTTTTTTTTTTATAATGGATGATCTAGCCATTGAAACTCAGAGCGAATTGTAAGACTTTACTTGGACCGAGCCTTCGTACGTCAACCGTCTCGAAAATTTCGATAATCGTTTCTAGGGTAACTGTACATAAAAAGATTTGCGAGAATATCGCGGTACAAATCCATTGCAACGACCATTCAGCTTTGAACTCCAGCGTGCAAAAGAAAAGAAAAGATTCTAATTGTGTCGAATGCGTTTCGCGAAAATCGCTGGTTCGATACGAAGCAATAAGCCATCGTTATATTTAAAACAATGGTTTCCAAACATTTTGGAAGGCGCGTCTCTAAACAAACAAAAAAAAGAAAAAGAAAAAAAAATACAAAAAAGAAGATATTCGCACCCGAGGTAAATGGTAAATTTAAAATAATGGAAAATATACTCTTACAGTCGTTAAGCTCCGATGGTCAATGTATAATATTATTAGAAAGTGATGTTCAAATTCTCTACATTTTTTTTTTCTTTTTTTTATGTTAAACATTTTTTTCTCGTGCCCTACTTGGTCTTGCAAGGTCTCCATTTTGGAAAGCACTGATTTAACGGTTATTAGTCTCTCAGTTTCAAAGGTTAAATCGACCGGATGATCGAAGATCAGAACGGCCGAGAGACCGGGAAGGAGCTTGACGAATTCGTAGCTTTGTTATCGCGATAATCTCATTGGAGTACGATATATTATCATTATTGTTATAGTAGCCATTATACGGGGCAGCCTTTATTAGCTATCTTGAAAGTGTGATATTTTTTTAACGAACATATCGCAAGTACGTTCGAGTTTTGCGGGTGATTTCAATGCTTGAGCGAGTAGGACGTTCTCCGAGCAGGAGTTCAACGAGGATTAAGACGAAACGAATCGGGATCGAGGAAATATCGCCACGATAAATTGTCGTAGGAAGAATAGACCTACGGACGTAACGATTTTTCATACATTAATTTATGCAGCTGTCGTTGGTGCAATCATTTGAACGATAATTGTAGAGCATATGGGGATGGGTGGCCATATTGAGTGGCTATGCAGCGCCGCTAAACGATTATCGTAACTAGAGTTGGAAAAAATTATGTAACCTACAAAATCAATATTAAATTTCTGTATATTCATTGTAAAATATTGCATTCTATAATAATAATTTGGATCGTTGTTTGGTAGAAATGTAGTATTCACAAGTGTCATCTCAAGCACTGCTCCCAAATTATGTTATTTTAAACCCTTTCAGTATCAATCTTTTATCGAAATTAGAATGTTTTCCCCTCTCTGACGTACGATATATGATAGGATGATGTCGAACACCGAAGCAGCTTCAACAAACTGGTTTAAAAAACTATTGAAACCATTCCACAGAAAATTTGTTTCTTTTCAATAATAAAATAGATTTGGATTGTTCAAATAAATATATATTTGAACACAATTGTTGTAGCTACTGTGGCGTTCGATTTGATTTTATAGATTAATTTAATCATAGAACGAATCGTTACGTCCATGGTCTTTGTTCAAAATGGCGCTCGAGTCGAAGATCCGTCGCTTTTTACGCTTCTCTTTGTTGCAACCTTCATATTTGTCGATGTTTATTCACAAGTTGTTAAACCGGCATACGATGTTTCACGTTCTATGTTTCGTGTGATTTTCATTAACTTTGCTCGGGAATTAACCCTCCATCGGTAATTAACCCCTGTCGATCAGAGTTTGTGTTTTCTCATCATTTTTGTTCCGTTTGTGTGTCCCTTTTTCTGGTGTTTCCCTACTCCGATTTCTGTCAATCACTGAAATTAACTTTGCAAGTGAAACCATGCACCATCTTGGGTGAAATAAATTTCAAATAAAACTCATTTGCAGTTGTCTAAGTTATCGTTAATTGTGTATTCGTGTTTCATTTTGAATTTGTGGAAAAAATCACGTTCATTGGTCGAGGGAAATTGGGTTTCAGGGGGCACAGAAGTCACCAAAAAATTAAAAATTAAAGCCTGGGTCCGAGGTGGAATTTTTCAACTTGTTATCGTCAAGTATATGTTTAAATTTAATTTTGAATTCGCGAGAAAATCGTCGATTGGTCGAGGGAAATTGGGTTTCAGGGGACACAGAGACCAACAAAAATGATAGAACTGATTTCTTTTTGTGCTCGGATTCAGAGACGAACGAGCAGCAACGCGAAGGATCTTGTGCAGCAAAGAACATCCCTTTCGATGTACAGACAAGTGAGAACGAGTTTCAAACGCGCCAGTACGAACCACGCGTCGATCATGAGGAGCGTGCAAAGAGCATTGAGCATTCAACGTCGGGAACCGTAAGCACTCGTCGAGAAATAGAACTTTTCAAATCTCTTGGGATCGACAATATTTTCTGTATAAATGAAAATAACATTTCGAATTGTATGGAGGATCTGTGATCGCGCGAGAACGTCGAAAGATATCTCTTTCGGTACTTGTCGCTTCGCAAATGATATTTTTTAGCGTAATTTCGACGCGCGGCTTGTTGGAAAAATTGTTCCCCAACAAAAAATCGTCAATTTTGACGCTGCAAAAGTGAATACTACGAAATTTTAGTTTAAGCAGCTCCCCGGTGATCCGAAAACGAAACGTCAACCTCGTAGAAAATTTTACATGTTTGTTTTGGCAGTCGAGCGATTTTGACAACGTTTCTTATTACCAGAGAATCGTTTTCTAAAAATCTTCCGTCTCTTTTGGATAGAAAACGTAACTACGATGCCTGTTTAACGACTTTGAACGAACAATCGGGCGCAAAACTTCGATCTTAATCCTCTCGTGTAGATTAGCCTTGCGTCTAAATGTCTACTTAACTAACTGCGTAAGACTTAACAATTTTTTCGTTGCATCGACGTCGTCGCGTACAAACGTCTTCGATAATCGTTCGAAAGCGAATAAAAGGAAAAACAAAACGCCTCTCGTCGAGGAAATATCAAAGCAATACTACGGTCGTCTCCGCGCGAGTCCCATTTCCATGGGAAATTAGGGAAACGATGCATATTCGCTGAATGAAACGACCTTCTTCGCGTCATATCGTAATCTCGGTGCAAAACGTGCCAAGGAATTGGCGATTATTCGCGAGTTTCCTTCGTCTTCGTGGCTCTCTGCTTATTCTTTAGGTTCCAACGAAAACTATTATACTCATCGACGCGGACGATCCGCAAACGCGCGGTGAAAATAAATTTTAAAAGTCACTTTTTTAAACGACGGTAATTTTGGAGTCTCTCCATAATGGCGTCGATGGGAGAAAATATTCCGAAAAGCAAAGTGGAAATCGAAAAGAAGTTAATATTCGTTGGGAGAATCTCATTGTGGAGCTGACTAGTCGAAGCAAAATGAATTAGCCGTTCAAGGTCACCGTAGGTGCATTCTCCCACTCTATTATTTTATATTTATCGCACATTATTTTTTATCGAAATATACATTATTACAATTCAGTATGAAATTGTAAAAAATATTTATAAACCCCAACAGTCAAATATAGGTTCTTGAACCTTTAAAAAAATTATTTCCTTATTTATTCGTTTTTACGAACATGAAAATGAATTAGTAGTTTCTAATGTTATTCGCGGAGTGGAGGAAGCGACCTTGATCAGCCGATTGGGAATCAACCCGAAAATAACAGAGAAGCGGGCTTCGTTTTGACACGTTTCTTCCCATCGTTAGCGCTGCCAAAATATTTTTAGACCACGGCAATTCGAACCTGACGGTTAAAATTTATTTTTGCTCGCGCAGGAAACAAAATGTCCGCGAAAAAAAATAAAAGGAAGACGAAGGTCTCTCTCCGAACCTCGATAACACACTATAGCAGTAGTCACTACATTTTTTTATTCGTATCGAATTATATATATACACACATATATATATTCATTTACGTGACGTTACGAAACTATTATAATTTCAATTAAAGAATCCGTCGGACGTAATTTACTCGTGCCTATTTTTACCTGAAACGGGTTATTGTCTAAAAGTATCAACCTTGTAGAACTTCGAAACAGCAGATTTCTGCTCGACGGAGGGAAAACATGGAACCAACGTGCCATTGAATAAATTCGGTACGAAGTGCATGCACAAGTTGGGCTTGCAAGCTTTATTAATTAACCCTTTAACCGAACGTGGTCTGCTTCTGCGAAAATAACAGATTCGTTGCGCCAACGAAACCGATATTTTAGTTTTGAGTACTCGACAGATGTTTTATATTAAATCCTTAATATTGTAACGCTCTCTAAAAGCAACTGACGCGGTTAAAGGGGTAGAAAAGCCGGGAGAACAAACGACACGATTGGATCAAGTTTGCTGGACGCGATATTCCACGGTTTTAGAGCGTTCGATATTGTTCGATGGAACCGGAGACCTTTCGATGCTATTTTTGTCGTTCGGTGGGTGTGGAATTTTCTTTTTCTATTTCAGTTGCATCCGACAGACGAATCCGTCGAATTGTCGCGGCACCTGATCCATGTCTGTCCGACAGAATAGTCGTGTAACGAACAAAATAAAGCTACACGTTGCCATTTAATCGAGTAACCGATCAACCAACAATCGCCAAAACCGCGAGCGATCGTTCGACCGTGCTGTTAACGACAGCACTCGCTTAACCGAGATTTTCGGCAATACATAATACTACGATTACTACCATTATCATTATGATTAATTACTATCATCCATGATTATTGATATTATTTAAATAAAGCAGTTACTATTATTCTTATGATTGTTTCTGTTGTCAAAATTGAGTAGTGCTTGTGGACTGTGGAAATCTATTTATATTCCGATCGACGAGAGCAATTTTTTTGGAGAAACTGAAGAGTACGGTAAAAATTATTATGAATTAAAAGTATAGTAGATGAATAGAAAATTGTATCTGTCGAGGCGTGACAGCTTGAAAGCTACTGGTAGAACATTCAATTAAAAATTGTCAGAGTACATTGTATCTATCATATGAGACAAATTCAGGCTAAATATAATACATGTAATGTTTTGGAGTGTATAAAATAATTGTAAAAATATTTAAACTGTTTTATTACATATAATTTATCTTTTATTATATGTTCATTAAAATTTATACAGCTCTAGCAATTTTCTATTAAATATTTACGTTTCAAGATGTCACTACGCAATCTTGTACACTAATATTTTCAATCATTTAAAAATATTCCCACGTTTCACACTTCTGATGAAAACAAATTTAGATCGTGGGAGTTGCTCGAGTCGACCGGAACGCAAATTAATTATATCTGTTAATGTTCTATTGGGAATAACGTTTTATTTTTTGTTCGTGTGAGCTTGTGTGCGCGTGCATCCCAATTCACGACGATCGATCGATCGATCGATCGATCCTCGAACGTAACCCTCTCCACCCTCGGCGCACTTTATTTTTACTTTCTTTTTTACCGACGATTTTTTTTCTTATCCTGGTTTCTTTATTTGCACCCATTTCAGACCCATCTGTAGTCAAGCGAAACGAAGATAGTCGTGTACAAAAAAAAAAAAGACAAAACGAAAGAATCACAAAATTTTGTATGTACGGAGCCTGTGAACCCTTGCAGTTGGCACATTTAGAAAACCCTTCCCCTCCGGAATTACCGTGAAAATGCATTAGGACCTCGATGTAAGTTCACTATCTAGGCATAAGTGAGAACGTCTTAAAACATATTTATAAAATGTTCCGAAAATATTCGATCGAAGCCAGTTTTTCGTGACACGACTATAGGAATTTTCCATGGACGAAAAATTTCAAAATTTGTTTTCAGTATATAGTGAAATTGCAAAAAGGAAAAAATATAATTTTATAAAAATACTAAAAAATCATACTGAGTATGGTTACAAGTATTATACAAATTTAAAAGAATAGTCGATATTAGAAAATAATTACTATTGAAATTATAAATTACCTGAAACTGGTGTACATCAAAATGTATAGAATAAGTATTTAAAAATAATATAAGTAAAATATCTTTTTGCTAAGAAAAAAAATTACAAAGTATAATTTCGGAACATTTTATATTAGCAAATAAGAGATCGGACCGAGACCAAGAAATTTTCTAACATCCATCACCTTCTCGGGTTGGTTCACTTTCTACTTGAAATTGATCGCAAAGAACGGTCCCAGCGTCTCGAGCCGATATTAGACAATTTAATTATTTATTTTGCTAATCAGTTTTCGCCGTGCATCGCCAAGAATTTTCAGTTTGCCTCACAGGATCAGAAATTGGGCACTTTTAAAATGCTATTTCAAATCACAATGTCATTTGAATTTTTTAAACACGATTGCGTTGTTTTATTACACGAAATAACTTTGAAAATAATATTTCTCTGTCTAAAATAATAAAATAACGAAATGTGCTTGGAAATAACATATATCAAACTTCATTTGATCCATCTATTACTTCTAATAACGAACTAACTTTATCGAAATTAGTAGCAATTTTGCTTAATTTTATTATAAAACAAAAGATCTTACACAGTAGTATTTAAAAAAAATTCTATTATAATGCTTGTAAGACCTACATTTGTTTTTTATTTTTTGTAAATCAATTTATCCAGTACTTCAGTTATTTCCAAATAACGTCACGGGAAATGAAAAACTGAAATATCATTTTAGACAGTTATTTCTTTTTAAATAAAATTTGCCCAGGTCCGTGCAGGACTCATATTCTGGTTCAAGTGTACACAGAATGAGCGCATGATTTTTGAATCCATCATTTTGGATTGCCTGCGTTCATTCTCTCTGCCTCCTAGTTGTGCGTGCAATATCTCGATTTCATGCTCCTTGGGAGGATTTTAACTTATTGTGTAATCTCGAATTGGAGTATTTATGAAAACGTATCAACGTGCCCAATTATTTTTCATTTGATATTCATTTTTAAAAAATAATTATATTAAACGAAAAGCATTGTTCGTGTCGTAGATACACGACTGAAAAGTTTTGTTGCATTTAATCGTCCAGAGACAGATATTTCGAAAATTGCATGATATTACAAATTAAAAGCATTCTTCGAAAATCTATTCGCGACGAGAGTGAACCAAATTGTTTATTAATTTTGGTTAAGTACCATGGCTCGCGAAATGCTTGCTAGAAGAATTTAATTCTTCGCTATTGTTTAAGTAAATTTACGACTATCGAATTAATTTCATGAAACGTTTCAACTAGGTCGAAGATACCCTGAGATACCAACGAAACAGGTAAATTGATACGTAAAATTAATCGATTCATTCCTTATAGTTTAACGAATTTCTATAGCGATCTTCAAAATCGACTTATCGTTGCAAAATAAAGCGCGAGCTCAGAACGTTTTGTAAAATGTAGACATAATTTCAACACACGCGAATGTTAAAGTAAAATAATGGAAGGTTCATTTATGGAAAGATAGAACAAATACAGTAGAACCTCGATTATTGGGTAAAAAACTGATTTTTTATACTAAAAAGTGAAAGGGAGTATAGTTGGAAAAGAAAATACAGCATTGCCTCGCAATTTGATCAAGCTGCGTTAGCAATACTTGCGAATAAATCGTTCTAGCCGTATGTGCAAAATTTAATTCAAATAATACATAACCAATAAGACCGACAGTTTATTTTTCATTTGTTATTCGAAATTTGTATCTGGATAAATATTTTTTCAATCTTTACCGTTGACTCAAGTGGTTTGACAGCTATGTAATTAAAAATCACTTAGGTTTGAGGATTCATCCAAACCTCTACACGAAACATGATAGTTCTGATTTGATTGCAAGAAGACAGGTCTTTCAAATATTTTAGAACAGTACAAAATATTTTAAGCTCGATTTATTTATAAGGAGTTATAGATGCATACAAAAATTTGTTAGTCTTAAACAATAATATTTTTTATTTAATCTAGCAATCAAAAATAGGGTCAGGAAACTTGCAGTTTTTAAAATGATTGAACTATATTTTGAGACAGTCTCAAAGGTATCTGCAGTCTTTCTTATCGTTAGTTTAGACAAAATGTAATTTTCACATCAGAATACTAACGATGCAAAATTATCAACGTTCTATTAAAAAATCAATGCCTCTCAGCAAGCAATAGTATTTACAATAAAAAATTCAAGCAAACCACATGTTTGACATGTTTGTAATACTGTAATTAGTAACAGTTACAACGTTTTATGTCTGTACCTTGATTATTTCACGAATTTCGATCAATACACAATGCTCGGACCCAGTTTTTAATCAGTAATCGTGGTTCTACTGCGCGTACACCGGGGAACCGTCTAATATTCCAAAACAAAACACTTGTCGTTTTTCCATTCTGGATGTTAACTTCGAGGTTACGTCCACGTTTTATTAAACAGTCTGTGCACATTTTTCTCGGGTTGTGAAGAGTTCGATGCCGTTTGAAACGGATGTAATGTCTCGAACGCTGCCATTAAGAATTAAAAATTCCGTTTGGTTTTTCGTCTTCGCACGAAACGATCGATGTGGTTCGCAATATTACGTATTGCCAGTGCTCATCGAGACGAATGGAATATCGGTGACGTCGACGGGCGTCGATTTGCACGGGGAACTCGACGTGCCTGATTACTTTCAAGCACTTCGCGACGTTCCCAGCAAATCGCTTGCCCACAACTGTATATATTTATTAAAAGATGTTTGCATGTATAAAAAGAACACATATAAATATCGGACCTATCGTATGTACGTACGTTGGATGCATTTACATATACATACATAGGACCCGCGATCGTGCGCATTCCTGCATTTTCCTCGCGACGGCGTATTGTCTCGTCTCGATACCTCATTTTGCGCGTACACGATCGCTGGCGGCGTACAATGTAAATGGTGGAAATAAATTATTGTTGCGTTCTATTTATTTAACGTGAGGACGGCGATGCGTCCTCCGTTGGAGACTCTGCTTTCGCGGGTTTGTTCGTCGAAAGATCTCGCTGTGGAAGATCTTGCTGGCAATAATCGTTGTAACAATAAAGTTTGCGAAGATATAATAACTGTTCGATCATTGTACGATCATTTTCTGCCCGTTTTAGGTTGTTCCAGTCCCCCTTCCGGTGTGCAGAGGTGAGTCGAGCATGAACTTTCGAGAATCGTGATGCACCCTATTATGCACTGAACACGCATGATTTTAATCTGTGATCAAGGGTAGCTCGCGAATCGAATGCAAACAGTGGACATTTTCGATCTCCGTGGCTAATTCTCGAATAAGAGCGCTTATAGTTAAACTTTCGTGGCTTGGCAAGCTTTTTTTTTAATTGCGAATAAAAAGTAATGCATTTAGATTTCGAGTTTAAAAATACAAGAATAAATTCTAAATATTCGTAATAATGAAAATTAAAATTGTGTATTTTCTTCAAATATTCCATATGTTGAGTGGACAAACCTGTGCTTAGTTTTAATAGTAAAATCGTCAATTATTTATCAACTAGATATACCGTCACTCAAAGTTAGTGTTATTTATTAGAGTATCGTCTAAAATACCAATCAACATGAGATTTTGTAGTATATTTAATTTTGTTAATTGAAGTAAACCAAACTCTTATGAAGGATAGACTCCCACGCTCTTGCTTAAGGATTCAAATGAGAAACGAATTATTCGACGGAAATGAAATTCTACCATATTGTATCGAATGGTTAATCGTTAATTGAGCCCGTTTGTATTCAATTCTCGATTCTTCGACGTGTGATCGAGGTTTCAGTGTTAATGAAGTGTGCAAATAACTTGATCGTTGTTCACCCTCGATTAAAAGGATGCTGAGAGGATCGATCTTATTGCTTTATACGCGTGAATTCTAGCGAAGAAATGAAATTGTATGACAAAGTAGGAGCTAACGAGGAGGTGACTCAACTTACTTATAAAGGCTTATGTCGATGAAGTAGAATTAGGACAGAAGGTGCCCCGGCCTCGTCGGTGCAATATATCCTGCATAAGGTAAGTACTAACTAAGGACACGTACGTATATATACGCGTACGTTGAC